ACCTCCCAGCAATGGTCCACGTGCTGGCAGCCACAAACACTTCATCATGGTGGCCTGACACTGTGACATGGGAAAAGCGTCAGAGCAGGAACCATCTTCAAGCATCAAGGACATTCAGTGATGCTGTGTCGGGGCTACTTCATTTCATAAAATAACAAAATACTTTCAGACCCTTCTCCAGGACACCTCCACCTTCTCACAACAAGCTTCTAAAGAGTTGACCCAGGAGCTCCAGAACTCTGCTGATGGGTAGGTTATTATATATATTTTTGAATACCATCCCTAACTGTAGTTATTCCAAAGTTCCCTAATGGAATGCCCCTCCCGGACCCGAGTGTGAGCCCACCTGCTCTTATCTTACTGACCAGCAGGTGGCAGCACAAACGCACTCATAATTCAGAATTGCAGGGGAAAAAAAGGCACAGAACCTTTTTGGTGTCTGTAGAACTAGGGAAGGACCCCTCTTCCTTGCTCATGGTGGTGTCCATGTTCACCCATTGATCCACCACATCCCACTGGGCATGAATGAGAGGATCACAGGAAGAAGATGACCCCACCTCTGGGAGCTGGGTCCTGCGGAACTGTAACCTGATCTGGGAAAGATGGCATTTGGGTGCATGCCAAGTGCTGTCCTGGAAGCTCCTGCTGTAAACCTTGGGTGTCATGTGATGAGCGGTAACGTGTATATCTAGCCTGTTGTTTGTGCTTGGCAAATGTTAGCTGATTTATACACATACCTCACCTTATTCAATCCTTACAACAAACCTACAAGATTAAGTCTCAGCAGACCATTTAATGGAAAAGGATATTGAGGCACAGACGGGTGGCGTTGGTTGCTCACAGGGCAAGTGCAGAGCAATGCTGAGCTTTGAAGTCTCAGTGACTTGGAATCCAACTGTGTCCCCCTGAGCAGGCTGAGATGTTTTACACTGAATCACAAACCTTCCTTATCGAGCAACACACACAACTACTCAGTGGGAATGGACAGCTGTACCTACTGAGGGGTACAGGGTAAAGGACTGAGTAGACTCCAAGTTTTCTTGAGAGATGCTTGCTTTGCAGACCAGAATGTGTGGAGGAGGGAAGATTGAGGCATGGAGCTCGCCCTGGCTGTTGTGCTGGGATGCAGAAGACCAGAGTTGTGTTCTATTTTTGCTATCTCATTGCTGTGTGACCTTCAGTACATCCTGACCTTCTCTGGGCTTTCCTTTCCTTAGCTGCGGATTAGAGCCTCTCATGGGCCCTTGCTGGTTCTCGCTCTTCAGGGAATCCAGAGGCTCCAGCATCAAACTCTATATTAACTTTAAGAAAAAAAAAACACCAAGGCTGTAATTATTCCCCTTAAGGGGTTCTTGCTGGGACTAAGAGAGGCCACAGAGAGAAATGCCAGGTAGCCTGAGCAAAGCACAGCCCCAGAGCCAGGGTTCTGCCACCTGGAGCCCTGCAGATGGCCTCAGGAAGCTTGTTTCTGGCCCCATCTTAGGCTTCACCTGTCACAGGTCGAGCTCTGCCCCCACCCCCACCCCAAGCAGATGCTGAGATGGAGTCAGGAATGCAAAGGAAGGGGAGGGGGGGGATCAGGCTGGGATGCAGGCCTGCCCCTTCTGTGCCACTGCAGTGGGGCTCAGGGGGCAAAGGCTGCCCGTGTGAGGATCCCCACGTTGGGTAGAGATGTCCAGGCCCCGGCACCTGGTCTTATTCCATTATTAGCTGGACTTTTGTGTCCTCCTGTCTTCCTGCAAAGTGACCTGGGCTGGTAAGCTGAGGTGGCCCCAGAGGGGACTGTCCACCAAATGCCCTCCTTAAAGGGAGGTCTGAGCAGTGCCTCTCAATGTCTGCCCCACAGGGAAGGGCCGCCCGGTCCCCTGGGGTGGGAAGTCCAGGCATCAGCACCCCTGCTTTCTCAGGCCCAAGGCAGGCCTGGTGGGGCAGGGCTGAGTCTGAAGGGGACAGTAGCAGCAAGTCAGAACCTGGCTGCGTGTACGTGTGCGCCCGCGTGGAGGGTGTGCACAGGTATGTGCAAGTGTCCAGTACAGGGGCATGTGCTTGGGCATGAGTATGCACATGTATGTGTGCAGGGAGTGGAGGTATGTGTGTATGAACGTGTACCTGAGGGCCCTGTATGGACTGTGCGTGTGTCCATGTGCGTGTTCCCTCATGTACGCACACATGCAGTATCCTGTGTCCCTCAAGCATTCAGGTGGTGGCTGCTAGCTCTGGGCACCTCTGACAGGTGCCACCTGGATTCATCCCAGGCCCTGAGAAAGGAAACTGGCAGAGTGAAGCAACCCACAGCTACAAGGAGACACTGGCTCCGGGGTCAGGGCAGGAGCAGGGGCCCCCGGGGCGGCCAGAGAATGGCGGCAGAAGCGCTGCAGGCTTCCTGGAACCCAGGCTCAGCCCCTCACCGTTTGGTAGGGTAAGGTGGGTGGTATTCTTCTCCCCGCTTTACAGAGAGCATGCTCTCTGAATGTTTGCCTCTGCGGGTGGAGCAGTAAGGACAGAGCCAGACTCCCCTTTCCCTGAGTGCAGGGTGTTCAGACATGAGTGGACGGGGAGGGGCTTCTCTCCCCTTGAGAATCTTCTCCTGGAAGGCAGGCATAGTTCCCGCCACAGGGAGCCACTCTGACTGCAAATTCCTGGGAGGGAGAGGACGTCCTTTTTCCCTAGTCTGGGGGTGGAGGGGGCCCAGAGAACACCCCCCCCGGGCTTGGTGGAGGGGTAGAGGCCCACCCCTGGCAGGCCCAGTGACGCAGGTCAGCAGTGGGGAGGCTGCCCAGGCTGGGGGTGAGCCAGGGCCTGCGGAGGCCCCTCTGTCCAGGCCAGATGGCTGCCGGCTCCAGTGGGAGGGGGTGCCAATACCACCGGTCAGTGTCCTGGCCCAGGTTCCACACTCTGCCCTTGCCTGGCCCAGGCCTTCAGGTGCAGAGCGGGCCAGTGAGGGAGCTTTCTTCGAAGTGCCCATTTACCAGCACCCCCCTGCGCTGGCCCCAGTACTCCCCACGCCCAGGCCCCAACCAGCCCCTCAGGGCCCCATCTCTGCACTCACCAGGCCATGGAGGAACCCAGGAAAGTGGCCTGGGCAGTGAGGCTTTCTTCATGGAGTCTCCTTTTCCTCCATAGTTCAAGCTGGATCAACTCCTCATTTGCTCATTCCTCCAACAAACATAAATCAAGCACCCACTACACCCCAGCTCTGTTCTGGGCTCTGGAATCATGCAGATGAAAGAGACAGAGTGGTCCTTGCTCTCGTGAAGCTGACGCTAGACTGGAGGAGTTGAGAAAACCAGCAGGCAGGTGTACAGCAGTGTGACCGAGGCTGGGGTCTACTTTAGAAAGAGGTCATCAAGGAAGGCCTCCCTGAGGAGGGAGCATGTGAGCTGGAGCTGGAGAGAAAAGGAGTTGGTCAGGCCCAATTCTGGCGGTGAGAGGAGGAGAAAGTTCTAGGTGAGGGGAGCCCCCTGGGGGGCATGTATGTGTGGGGGGGCAGGGGGGTCTGGTGTGCCCTCCCTGACTACAGGAGGTAGGGGCAGGGGTGCTAAATGTGGAGTGGTTGTTGGGGGGAGTTGGAGCCGGGACTCAGAGTCTTCGTGGGAGTTGGATTTAGGGGAGTGATAGAAACAGAATTAACATTCATAAAGCATTACGTCCATCACCTTACATAAGCCAACTCATTCCAACCTCCCCCAAACCCTATAATAAGTAGGGTTTTCATTATCATCCTGTTTTACAGATGAGTAAACCATGGCCCTGAGAGGTTAAGTCACTTGCTCAGTGACACACTATAGGCCAATGGTCGAGCTGGGATTTCCGGTTGGGCAGCTGGTGCAAGAACCCTAACCACTGTAGCACGCTGCCTCTGTGGATGTGATTCCCTTACCTCCAACAAAACTTCCTCCAGGAGGCCTTTCCTGTCACCAGAGTTTATTTCTTTTGCTTAAACAACATACTAACCGTTGCATCTGGCCTAAAAAACGGTGGGGTCCTCAAGAGGTCATCTTGTCCATGCCTCTGCCTCCAGTGGACACGGTATTATAAGTACTGTTTTGAAGATGAGACTACTGCAGTCCAGAAGGACCAGTCTATGTCCAGAATCAGTGAAGGGAGTGTGGGGAGCTAGAGCCCTGGTCTTCTAAATTCTTCCATGCAGGTTCCGATCTCTCCCTCCCCGCTTTGAGATGATTTTCGGGTCGTTCTTGTCTGTTTTCAACTCCGAGCACCCTTCCCCAGCTAGACAGCAACCTCCTTCTGTGCCCACCACGGGGTGGTGCACACAGCAGGTGCATACCCAATGCCTGGGCTGTAACAGGTGGCTGAGTGCGGGAACACACTAGATGCATGCTGCAGTCTGGGATGCCGGGAGCAGGGATGTCAGGGGGGAGGGTGGATGTGAGGGGGCACTTGAAGGGTGTCTAGGAGTGTTTCAGTGAACCCAGGTTGGGGTATTTCTGTCTGGGCCGAGAAGGGCATCCCCACCAGAGGGAATAGCATGTGCAGAAAGACAGGGGCGGGGAGGATGTGGTGTGATCAAAGACGGGTGATAGTGCAGTTGACCTGTGGAAGAGGCAAAGATGGGCAATGAGGTGGGGGTGGGGCTCCAGGGATGGGGCCTGTCAGTCAGGCAGGGGGGTGAGATGCGGGGAGGAGGGGCCGGGCTGGGGCCCTGGCTTGGACGGTGGGCGGATGGCGAGGGGGATAGTCCAGTGAGCCCTGGGAGCAGATCCTGACCTTGCCGAGTAGCTTCGAGCAGCTTCGTGTGAGTCATGGGCCCTCTCTGGGCCCGTATATCACTCTGCAGAATTGGGGACTGCCACCTATCTTCTGAACCCGCATGGATTTGTTCTGTGGTCACTGCTTTCTTACTGCCGTAACAAACCATGAAGCTCTGCTGGGTGGATATGGAATATCTTTAATGCCCCTATTTCTTTTCGGGCTGTGTGTGGCTGTGCTCCAAAGTACTCTGCCATCACTCCTCGGGGCATAGGTCTCGGGGTTCCGGTTCACAAGGGGGTGTGGGTTGACATGCTCCTCTGCACCTTCCCGCCCTTCCTCTTGTGGAGACCCATCCAGGGCAGGCCAGTGTCATGGGCCTGGGCCTGGGCCCGGGCTTGGCCCAGCACTGAGGGCGGTGGCATCAGTGGCACAAGCTCCTCCGAGGACCCGGGGGAGGCCTGAGGCAGCTCGTCGGGGTCCAGGTTGGCATCGCTCCAGCCCTCAGAGCTATCACTGTGGACATCCAGACCACTGGCCTCATCCTCAGATGCGGTGGTGGCCTCGGCCTCGTCCTCTTCCAGGTTGCTGTCCAAGTCCCCTGCCAGGTGGCCGGTGGCCCCCTCCAACTTGCCGGCTGTGTGGACGTCTGCCGTCTCCTCCTGCTTCTGCTCAGAGCCAAATGAAGGGGCGTCATGGAGCCCCGCCACGGGCTGGGCGGGCGTCTTGGCTCTGGCCTGGCCGGCCCAGAAGAGGGTGAGCTCTTGGCGGCAGGCGGCCACAGCCAGGCTGGTGAGCAGGGTGCTGGACACCAGGTACAGTAGGGCGGGCTGGCCCATCTGCATGAGGACCATGGCGACGAAAGTGACCAGCAGGCCCACGGCATAGGCCGCAGTGCAGGCCACAAAGTAGACCTGGCGCGACCGGATTTGCACATCAAAGCGGTGACAGTAGGCCACCAGAAAGCCAGGGACCACGATGTCACCGAAGCCGAGGATGGAGAAGCGCTGGTCGCACAGGGTCAGGGCTGAGAAGCTCAGCAGCGGCACCCTGAGCACCATGGGTAGCCTCTCGTGGCTCGAGGAATCCATGGGGCCCGAGGCCACCTCCACCATGATGCTCTCCCCGGTCCTGGTGAGGAGGGGCGTGATGAAGACGAAGAAGACGTCAAAGGCCAGCAGGGCCAGCAGGAAAGAGGCGCAGTTCCTGAGCGTGGGCAGCCGCACCCGCCGCAGGACGAAAAGGCAGTAGGCCACCCCCAGGGTGTCCTGCAGGAGCCAGGCCCAGCGGTCCTCGTTGCGGTGGGCCACCCAGACGGCGGTCACCGCGGCGCACAGGCCGGCCAGCAGCAGCAGGGGCAGCTGCGGACGGGGCCGCTGGGAGAGCTGCGGGGGCAGGCGGCGCGCCAGGGGCGCCAGGCAGCTGTAGAGGCCGGTGCCCGCGCCCAGGCCGAAGGTGGCGATCAGGACGTAGACGAAGCGGTCGTAGAAGAAGTAGAGCAGCAGCATGATGGAGCAGGACATGGTGACCACGGCCCCGGCCATGGCTGGCGTGAAGTCCACCGCCGCGACCTCGGCTCCTTCCTCCGCTGCCCCCGGGGCCGCCGCGGCTCCCCCGGGCCCTCGGGCCCCGCGCGGCCGCAGCCGGTCGGCCTCGCTCAGGCCGGCCCAGTAGCCGCCGGCAGCCACGGTGCCCACCGCCAGGAGGAAGATGACCGCCGCGTCGCAGTCGAGGCCGGGCTCGGGGGGCGCGAACAGGGCCACGCGCACCGAGGCGCTGCCGCGCGTGTGGCGGAGGATGTCGAGCAGGTCGGTGTGGCGCAGCTCGGCCACGGGGATGGTGAGGCCCGGCCGCGGCGCCCGGCGCTCCTGGGGGGCCGGGCCGCGGTCCGAGCACTGCCGGCCTTCGAGCCGGCCCACGATGAGCAGCCCGTGGGCGCCGCGGCCCTGAGCCAGCCAGCCCTTCGCGGAGAGGCTGCAGTTGCCCCTCATGACCATGGCGGTGGCCTGGCGGAGGGGCCGCGCCCGGGCCGGGGCGTCCTTGCCCGGGCACCAGGGTGCCGCGGTGCCATCGTGCAGGGGCAGGAGCGGCGCGTGGTGCAGGTCCCGGGGCAGGGTGACGTAGTCGGAGCTGAACAGGGCGCAGTAGTCCTTGCTCCAGGTCTCCGACGCCACGTGGACCACGCCGTACTGCCTCCGGGCGGTGGTGCTCGTGAGGAGGAGGAGGAAGCCCAGGGACGCCATCCTCCCCAGCCACCTGCGCTGCGCCCCAAGGTGGCAGCGGCTCCCAGCCCCGGGCCTCCTCCCAGGGGCTGGGTGTGGCCCTCTGTCATAGAGCAGCCTTGCCTCCTGTCTGGGAGCTGGAGCCACACCTACGTGGTCACAAAGCGGTGCACCCCGGGGCTTAGGGCACTGCTTTGGAGCACAGGGTCCCTCTTAGATGCCTGTCCCGCCACCCCACCTCCGGTAGAGAGGTTGCCTGGGTCCCCGCTCTCTGCTCAGCCCCTGGCAGGCCTGGATCAGGTAATTTGAAATTAATGCCGAGGGGCTGGGGCTGAGGATCCCAGACATGAGTTCTGGACCAACTTTGGTCCTCACTGACTGGGCTCCTGGGCAGATGCCTCTCCCCTCAGCACTTGTTTGTCCAGCCCCCCAGAAATGAGAACATGGGACTCGGGGGTTCCTGAGGGCCCCGGGGGCCCTGACCTCAGTGACCTTGCCAACTTGTATTGAGCACTTACTAAGTGCCACATACTCTTATCTGTACTCATTGCGTCCTTGCAGGGAGGTATTACTGTGTCCAGCTTGGGGGGGGGGGGGCTGTGTGCCGTCCTTCAAAAGCCACGCTCTTTTGCATTGACACATGACCAAAATTTCATTTCTAGCTTTCCTTGGAGTTAGGAATGGCCATATGGTCAAGTTCTTGCCAATGGAATTGAGCAGAAATGATGTGAACCCCTCAGGAGCCTGGACAGAGATCATGAGGCTCCTTGTTCGTCTCTTCCCTTCTCACAAGCCAGTCATAGGCAGACCATTGTCTCTGGTGAGAGGACGCTGTCCTATGGGATGGAAAGAGAAGAAAGAAAGGAAGCGGGACCTTGGATGTCTACATGGAGCAATGGTATGGGACGCTTACCACAGACTCTTGGATACATTGTCTTCCTTAAGCCCTCAGCTTATTGTGGGTCTCTTTGTTATAGCAGCTTTACCATCCCTGAACACCTCCACTTCATGGCTGAGTAAACCTGAGCTTAGAGAAGCCCACCCCACAGACCCCAGCCGCAGGCCTCAGATCCAGCCCCCACAACTGACACCTCCCTTAGGTCTTGCCCTGTCCAGGGTGCTGCCCGGCTCCCTGACTGCATCAGGCTTCCTGGCCATGCAGCTCTGCCTCCCGCCCGAAGGCCTCACCTGCCGCTTGCTCTCATCCTAAAGGCCTGTGCTCCAATGGTCTCCCCCTGACCACGGCCAGGAGCAAACAGGCCCACTTCTTAGCACTTGTTATCACAACTCAGGTCTTTGCTTATATGTTTCCTAGTTTATTTTCTGTGTCTCCCTGGTTGAGTTCCACGAAGACAGAGACCTTGTCTATCTCTCTAGCACTCTCAGATTCTGGAAGAGCAAGTGATAGAGTTCTAATATGTGTGGGATGTGTGAGTTCATGACCTTGTTTTCCACTAGAAGGGACCGAGGCATTGGGCAGTGAAGAGACTTTTCCAAGGTGACACGTGAGTGGTAGAGACAAGATTAAAACCCAGCATGCTGGGTGGAGGAGCTTCTGGCTAACCCTGCTGTGCTCTGCACAATGCACTCAGGGAACTGTGGCTGGCCCACTTGTCTCAGAGGATGGGGATTGGCCAGCAGATGTGTGTGTTGAAAAAAAAAATCGGTTGAAGAGGGGACCCATTAAAAAGTCATCTCCACACTTTACATTTGGTATTTGGAGGTGAGACCTTTGGGAGGTAAGAGTGTCATCAGGGTGGAGCCCTCAGGAATGGGCTTGGTTTCCTTATAAGAGACACAGGAGAGAGGATCTCACTCTCTGCTTTTTGAGGATTCAGTCTGATGGCGGCTGTCTGCAAACCAGGAAGAGAGCTCTCCCGAGGAACGCGCTTAGCCAGCCCCTTGATCTCACACTTCCCAACCTCTTGGAACTGTGCAAAATTGTTCATGTTGTTTAAGCCCCTAGCCTATTTGTTATATGGCCTGAGTTGACTGAGACAAAGTCCAGGATCAAGGTGTTGGCAGGGCCATGCTCCCTTGGAGACTCTGGGTAGGACCCTTCCTCATACCCTTCCCCAGCCCTTCCTCATCTGGATGGTGGCTGGCAATCTTTGGTTTTCTTTTCCTCGCCTGCAGCCATACCACTCCCATCTCTGCCTCTGCTGTCACCGGACGTTCTCTCTCAGACTGCATTGGGGGCCCATCCAGTGACCTTATCTTAACACGCTTATATCTGCAAAGACCCCATTTCCAAATAAGGTCACATTTACAGGTCCTGGAGTTTAGAATTCCAACATATCATTTTGGGAACACAATTCTACCTATAAAACACATTTTATTTTCACTTTGATGGAGTGCACAGTCACTGATCTCCTTAACGCGTCTGCATTGATTATGGGCCCATCCCCCAGCATTCCAAGTCGCCTTCCTTGTAAAATCTGCGCTGACGGGACACCATCCCCAACATCCAGCTTTGGGTTCATTGGGATGGAGGGCAGGCTGAAAGGACCTTGCGAAGTGGCTGGCAACTAGAACCACGTAGACTGCCAATCTCTTCCCACCCAGGTATTTACATTCGTCTCACCCCCACCTGGGTTGACAGCTAGTTGTTTGTGTGACTCAGATTGTGTCTTTCAATAGAGTTTTCAGAAGAGACAACATTTCTCCTTGTTTGTACAATTCTGTTTCATCCATGGCTCTAACGTTTAATTCGATTACAAACAGTAATTATAATGACAGGGTAACTGTCAGAAATATGTTAGGGAGCAAAGCCAGCAGACTAGTGAGCATACTCCCGGCTGGGGACAGGGACACGTGGCAGGGCCTGGGGCCTGGGGAAGGCTGCCAGCCACTCCTGCCATGGGATCCCATTGCAGGGAAGGACTGGCACGTTGGTCAGGGGCGGTCAGGAAAGTAAGACCTCTCTACATTCCAGCCAGCCCCTTCCTGAGTGCTGTGATAATAAAACTGTCTTGGCCTCAGCTGATGTTGCTTTGATTCTTGGGGCTCTGCCCTCCCAATAGGGGGTCTTGGGTTTCCTACAAACAGACCAGCACACCCACTGAGGCAGCTATGGTTAAAAACACAGAGAGTAACAAGTTCTGGTGAAGATGTGGAGAAATTGGAACTCTCCTACGGTGCTGGCGGGAATGTGGAATGGTGCAGCCACCGGCCTGTATGTAGAAAGCAGTTTGGGGGGTCCACAGTAAGTGAAGCGTAGAGTTACCATATGACCCAGCAATCCCACCCTCTGGGGGTACCTAACAAAGGGATTGAAAACAGGTGTTCAAAAAAATGTACATGAATATTCATAGCAGCACTATTCACAGTAACTTGGAATAGGTGGAGAGAAACCAAATGCCCTTCAACGGGTGAATGGATAGCATGGTCTCTCCATACAAGGGAATATCATTCAGCCGTAAAAAGGAACGAAGTCCTGATACCTGCTATGATGTGCATGAATCTTGAAAACACTGTGCTAAGTGAAAGAAACCAGACACGAAAGGACACTATTGCATGACTCTAACTTTTATGAAATATCCAGAACAGGGAAAGCTATAGAGACAGAGCAGGTTCGTGGTGGCCAGAGGCTAAGAAAGTGGGATGGGGGGTGACAGCTTAATGGGAATGGGGTTTCCATTATGGAGATGAAAACGTTCTGGAACTAGACCAGCCTGTGCCCCTATTTGGGGTTCATAAACACAGGATCCCCCAAAAAAGCCTGCTCCCACCCTTCTTCTCTGATCTACCCTTGGGTTCCTGGTGTCCTGGCTCAAAGAATTCTCTTGAGGCTCATTCCCTCTGAGGCTCTTCCTGGCTCACTGAAGGCTTTTGAGTGTCTTTCTAATCGCTGCTTCCCCAGATTCTCTGGATCCACCCCCAGCCCCCACAGCCCTGGAGTTGGTCTTCTCTATGGCTGCTTGGGCCCAGACAGTGCCCTGCACAATGCTCTGGGAGGTGCCGTCATACCAGTGGCTGATGCTGTGTTTCTGCTCCAAGACTCTGCAGCCTGGCCCACCTCTCTCTCCAGATTCCATCCCTTTCCTTGAAGGCATCCCCCTGTATCTGCAGCTTCTGCTCCCTCCCTGCTGTTCCTCTTAGCTATGGCCTGGGCTCTCAGGGTCACTGTCCCAGGCAGGCCAGGGGCAGTGTCTCTGCCTTCTGTCTGGGGACCTGGGGGGGCACCTGGAGCATTAATTTTTATCCACTCGGAGCAGCAAGGACAGCTGACCTCACATAGCAGGACTTAGGCCAGTGTGGCTGCTCAGGAAGGGAGAAGATGGTGCCCAGCTTACCGGGCCACTCACTGCCCTCACTTCCTGGCCCAATGCTGGCCTAGATGCATGTTTTAGAGGTGGTATAGACACTGAGAGAGGACTGGGTCACCACCTGCTCCCTCCCCAACTATCCCAATAATGAAGGTGAGAGGCAGGAGCACCTGCAGGTCCACCTCCACGTCGTCCCCCGCCCTAACTGGGTGCCCGCTCCACTCTCCCTTTTTCCTCTTGGCACACTGAGCACAGGGCCCCCACGCCTGCTTCTGCCCCCACCTGCCTTGGCCCAGTGGGGCGATGAGGCTGGGTAGCAGGCATCTTTCCAGGACCCCCGGAAGAAGCAGAGAGAGTGGGTGGGAGTCTGGCGGCTGAAGATAGTCTCTGGAGTTATCTCTAAACAATGATCTCATCGATGTTTCCAACACACTTAGACCTTTGAAAAATATATGTGTTGCAGGCCTGTCTTGAGCCCGAGCCTGACCAGTTGGATCTGCAGAGGCTGGTGGGCTGTAAAAGTAGGGATAGGAGGCAATGCTTTGGCATGAAACAGCGACAGGGCTGGGACACTGGGAAGCTGGCAGCCTGGAGGCTGGGCTGCTCAGGAGTGGCCCCCCGATGCCCATGCTTTGCAGGTGCCAACATTGTCTCTGAATGCTGTTTGTCCACAAACTAGGGAAACTGAGGACTTTCCCTAGGGAAGGTATTGGAGGAGGCAGTGGGGCAGGGTGAGGCATTCTACAAAGAACTCCTGCTGCATGCGGTTAAACACGGTAGAGGCTGAGTGAGGCCAGCCTAGGTGCACATCCGGCCATGCCAGCCATGCTGGGGGCTCTGGGGCAGGGCTAATGCCCTCTTTGTGCCTTCTTTTCCCCATCTGTTAAATGGGGATAACCGCTCCTGCCTCACAGGGTGTGGTATGAAGAATAGGTGAGCGGCTGGGCTGTGCCTGGCACCCGAGAAGCACTCAATCAACGATAGCATTGCTGGTGTTGGAATGCAGAAAACAGCCCTCGTTTCTCTTTGGACTGAGGATGGGCAGTTGAGTTTAAAGTCAGAGGACTCCATGAGATGATCCTGAGACCCTTAAGCTGGAGGCTGGTGACCCCCTTCCCTGGGCTGAGCAGAGCCTGGGTGGGTGCAGGGAGGCCCACAGAAGCTTCTGGTGCCCTGGGTTGCACTGTTCGAAGTTAAGTATCATTTTAAGGAGTGGAGGGGTGGAGGATGTTGGGAAGGTGGGAAGCCTGTGCTGGGGACCAGGATAGTTGTACAGAACCCTCGCTGCTCCCACCCAGCTGAGCTCAGCAACTGGACACTGGCTGTGCCATCTTTGGGCTGGTCCCATCTTCACCTGGGACTCGTCCCCAACCAGACAATCTGAAGCCTTGAGGCCTCCTGCTTCCTCCTCTCCCCCAGAGCTGCTCTATCTGTCCTGGCCTCCTAAAACCCAAACCCAGGGGGTGGAAAGAGCCCTGCATGTGGAGCCAGAGGACCTTTGATCTCAGAGGAATTAGCAGGCCTCAGTGTCCTTGGCTGTAGAATGGGATGGTTTCTGCCTCCGTGAGTTACTTGAGGATTAGACAATATCATAAAGGATTATACAGATTGCAAAGCAGTTTACAAATGCCCACAATTAAGGTGTTATTACCTGGATTCTAAAACCTCCCTGCCTCCTTAGCACGTGTTTTCCCACATCTGGCTCCCTCCCCTGCCCTATCCTAGGGCATCTAACCCAGCAGCAGCAGGAGGACTGAGGAGGCCTGAAGGGGATGCTGAGGACCCCAGGGCAGGGGCCTGTCATCACACTCAGAGGTGGAGGAGCCCGAACTGGAAACCCCACAGTGGGGATTTTCCTCCCCTGGGGATCTGTGCCCATGAAGGAGGGTCCCAAGGAGAAACGGGCTCGGGTGGGGTACTCCAGGGGACTGTGGCCTCCAGGCTTGAGGGAGTGGCCTGTCCTGCAGTGACCCCCTCCCCCTGCGGTTGCCAGGCCTCTGCCCCAGCGCAGTAACATGTGTATCCATCCATCATACCTTCAGGCTGAACCTCAGGGAACAATGACCCTCAGAAACCCCATCTGGGGGCCTGCCTTCACCCTGCTTCCTGAGCCCTGGGCTGTGACAGGCTTATACCCTGGGCACCTGCCCTCCCCCACCCCCGCAGAGGAGTTACAGTTCTCTGGGGCCCAGATGTTCCTGAAGCAGCCCCTCCTCCCTTACAGTCTCTGAATGGGAGGTGTCCTGAGGCTCATCTGGACCAGCCCCTGCCTGCCCCCCACTTCCCCCAGGAGCTCCTCTGATGACTGTCAGCCCCGTCCTGGAGGTGTCCTCTGATGGCTTTCCAGACCCGGCAGCTCCGGGCTTTGCAGTTGGCTGCTGGCACTCGTCTTGGGGGGCTGCTCATCTCCGCACTTTGTGCTGGGCCTGGCAGTTTCGAATGCACAGTAGGTGCTTGGAAGGAGGCACAAGCAGAAGGGACACTGCCCCAGCTTGCCCCCCACCCAGGACCTCTTGTCCATGCAACCTCCTTACAATGTCCCCTCCTCCTCCCAGGCTGCTCTGTCCTTGGGGAGCCCTGTCCCCACAGCCCAACTCGTACAGGAGAAGCCTTGCTTTCTCACTTCTTCACTGGGCGAATAACAGTTGAGAAAGATGCCTCAGTTGTGGCCCGTTTGAGACTCCTCAGGCACTTCTGGTCCCTTCCTGGGGCCATCAGCCTGTCTCTGTCCTGGTGCCTCTGGTCCCCTCCCCGAGTCCCTGGTCCCTGTGTGCAGGGTGGAGTTTCCACGTCCCACCCCCTCTCCTGCCCTCAGGCTGCCTCCCACCACACCCTGCTGTGCGTGTGCTCGCTCCCTCAGTGTGTATCTCTCTCTCTCTGTGTCTCTGTTGTCATGTGGCCCCTGTGCTCCCTACCCCCGGGGGCAGCCTTCCTCACCCTGTGGCCCCTCAGGTGGGCTGAAGGCCAGGATGCCCCCTTGGGCTTCTGCAGTAGGATTATGCTCCAGCTGCCCCTAGTGGTGGCTGTGGTGTGGGCACCCCTGCTCCCGCTGCCTCCCTGTCCTGGCCTCCTGCCCCCACCTGCTCCCCGGGCTCCCCTTCCCTACTTGGTTCTGGAAACCTTGTCTTTGGCTCTGTTTCTGGGGCTCTCAAGCTGAGACAGTGTCAAGGCCTCCTTAACTCTACTTCCTGCTTCCAGCTTGGCCCTTCTCTTGGGGCTGGGAGACATTCCTGCCTGGTCCCATCGCCACACCTTGGCTAGAGCTGTCGGCATGGGCCCTGACCCCTCTAGTGTCCTTGGCCAGCACTGCTCACCTGTGGCCCTTCTCTCCCTATGACTCATCCCTTTTAAGAGCCGTCCTTGTCAGCTGCGTCCACAGGCCCATGCCCCCAGTGGCTCACCTAGCACCCCATCCGGATGGGTGTGAATGGTGTCAGGTTTCCCAGCCACATGCTGGCTGGTCCCAGACTGAAAAGTCTGGCCTCCATTTCTCTGCTGTGCCCTTCCCACCCAACCCCGCATAGTCCAGACCTTCACAGATGCTGGTTGAAAAGATAAATATTATTATTTACAGCAGCCACCCCCTCACAGCTGACACCTTATCTCCCAAGGCCCGGCTCCAGTGGCCCAGTACTCTGGACACGGGAGGGTCCAGTGGGGGCTGGCTGATTGCCCCGAGAGCCAGTTGTCTTGCTCCAGGACACTCAGGCAGAGAGGATCCAAGTCCCCTGCCCCTTCTATCTTTGCTTAGCTAATCATGCTGCTCCAGAGGTCATCCAGGCACCAGAAACCCCTTGTACCCAGCAGAGAGGCTGCCCCAGATGCCAGACCACTGACACCAGCAGGCAGGATGGCCCAGAGCATTCTCTGTTCTCTAGAAGGGAGACTGGCTTTGGCTGGGGCACACCCTGGTTCTTGCTCACAGGACACTCCATCTCCTTCCAACCCCCACTTCCCACACAGGGGGAGATACCAGGGGCAGGAGGTAACAAATCAGGGTGTGGGTATTGTGGGTGGTTAAGGACCGGGGCGGGGGGCTGAGTGGCCTGCAGGGCATAAAGGTCCAAGGGTACAAGGCAGCGAGACAGGGCATTTCTGATGGCAGTGCCACAGTGCCAGATGAAATTATGGTGGCTTGGGAGGATTTCTTGTGGTGTGGCCTACTGTCTGATGATGTCACCTGATTTCTAATGACATGGCCAGGGCTTTCTGGTGACCTGGCTTTGGTTCCCACTGGTATTAGAAGGCATTGCCAACACCCAGAGGCATCATCACGGTGGTTGGGATGCTGTCACAGGAGTTTCCCATGATGCCCCTAGGGCAGCAATTGGTGCCTTGCAGTTGCTGAGGACAGGCCCCAGGTCTCCAGGAGGCTGGCCATCTTGTGTTCTGGGAGAAGACGCCTCTTGGAAGGACCCCTGTGCTGCCTTGGATTTTCTGGCTGGCCATCTCCACTCCATTCTCATTCCATCTCCGGGGAGGACTTGGGGCACAAGGGAGCCAGAGGCCCTGGGCCCAGCCCAATCCTATAGGTTATTTCCCATTCATCGCATGGCGCAGACTATGGCTGCTCTCATAGGCCTAGAACTCCTGCTCATCCCGGGACCGGGGGGGGGGGGGCCCACGCTGTCAGTGCCAGATGCTTCTGGGGATACAGATTGTGAGAAGGATTTGGTCCCCTCCATAGATAGGGCAGCTGGCCGAGCCTGGAGACCATCTTCTGCTCCGTGGCCCTCCAGCTCAGACTGCCGTGGACTGCTTGATACTGTGGAAGCTGACACGGGTGGGCGAGGTGGGGATGGACATGGCGCGGGCCACGCGGGCACGGATCGAGTGCTTGTCCTGCCATCGATGCCACCTCTTCCGGATGGCAGAGCGGACCTGTGGGCACAGAGCAGAGCATGTTGTCTGAGCCTGGATCTGAGGACTCCCTTCCATCCCCTAGGGCTGCCACAAGCAGCAGTACATGTGAGCAGTCTTCAGGCGTGCAGTACGCAGGTGTGAAATGCAAAGGGGGCCACACAGGAGGAGGTGCCATGCATGTCATCAACATTATTTGCCTATTCGTTAGGATGATTTTTGCAAGTATTCTGAGAAGAGAAGACTTTTTCCCACCCACACAAAGGCACCAGATGGCCTTTGCCACAAAGAATTCCTACCTTCAGCACATACGCATGCCCTGCCCAAGGGCTTAGCCCTTCCTGTTTTCAACAAGCATTTTCACAGACTCATCGATGGGACTGAAGCCCTGACTTCTGACTCCCTGTGCCAACTGCCTATGGGAGCAAAGCAGTGGGCTTGCCACTATAGGAGCAGTGTGGGCAGGTGTCAGGGGCCCTCCTGGGGCTCCTGGCTGTATCCTCATTAGGGACCTGGGGGCAGGGAGGAGGAGCTGGCATGTGGAGGGCAGGAGGAGGCTACAGACAATCTCAGGTCCCAGAAGCCCCCCACCCCCCACCATCCTGAGCTCTGGGGCCCTGGCATCCTTACCTCACTGTTGAGGAAACAGTAGAATACAGACACAAAGAAACCCTGGAGTGGACAGAGAAGGCGGGTCAAGGCACAGGGACAGGTATGGCCCCACCTAGCCTCCGGGCCACCCCCTTCCTCTCCACGGCCTCCACCCCTCCAGACCCTTGTCTGAAAGAATCCCCACCCAAGCAGGTGCAGAGCACAGCCAGGAACAGAGTGAGGGGTGGGTGGCAGTACCTGGAAGGATTCTAGAAAGGAGTTGAAGTAGATGAAGACGACCCGGGAGACCTCGTCCTCCCCGGGGTTTACGAAGAACAGCATGTACGTGATGCCCAGGAGGGGAAGCAGCACCAGAGTGGCCTTCACAGCCTTCCTGAGGCAGGGCAGGTGGGGAGGCCCAGAGTCACAGCCCACCCCTGGACGGGGCCGGGGCCTCTGGCTCCGTGGGGAGGGCTGGGCCTGGGGCTGGGGTGCCAGGTCCCCAGGAGGTCTGAGATGGGGAGCTGGGCTTTCAGGAGGGGCTGTCGGACCTGTGAAGGGGGGGGACGCTGGGTTGGAGGCTGGGGTCTCTGGAGCCCCCTGTGGTTGGGGGAGGGAGGTGGGCCAGGTTACCTGTACTGAATGGTCTCAGATGTGGTGGATGCCCGGAGTTTGGTCATAAGAATGCGGACGATGTTGAAAAGGAAGATAAAATTGATCTGTAATTTGAGCACACAGTGGGATGGTGTGGGGATATGTGTGCACAAGAGGTTGGAGACAGGCTGGGTGGACAGGGCAGGGCCTCAGTGTCTCCAGGTCTGGTCTGCACGGGGACCCTGTCAGTCCACAGTAGGTACTGATTGTCCCTCTCTCCTGCCCCCCTACCCAGGTTCTTACCAGCAGGACCAAGATCATTGGGCCCTGGTAGATGTAGTCAGTGTACACCCCAGCTCTTTTGCCAAACCAGCACCTAGAAAGCCACAGAGGAGAGGTAAGGGGGGAGGTCATCCGGGTCCAGTTAAGTGGCATGGGGAGGGGCAGTGCTTGACTAGGGCAGGACTGGGGCCAGAAGCCAGGCTCTGGGTACCTCAATTCCAACCCTGGAAGAAGGTCAAGATCCCAACACAATGCCTCAGTTATTCCATCTGCAGAATGGACAGATAGCACCTTCTATTAGATGTAAAGCAGGAAGCAGGCCATGTGGCAGGGGGGCGGATTGTGGAAAAGACCACTATGTAGAACAGACCGGGGCTCAACGCACCACTGCTCCCCTGGCTCCCCTCTGGGGGTCTGGCACAAGCCCCCTGGTGGTGCCTGGTGCCTGTCACGCAGGGCCCCCCAGCAGCTAGCGATCTCTGAATCACTTTAATTGCGGCCTGAATGACCCCAAGGCAGAGATTCCATAGGTTTCACCTGTAGGAGAAGCAGAACTGCTCTTCATTTTCTTGAGCTTCCCTCCAGAGATCTCTTGGGGGTCTAGGGAGTGGGTGGGGATGCGGCACAGGGGAAGTCCCATGTCCTTGTGCAGAGACCATGACCTCCAGGGGATGAGACCCATAGTGCCTAGATCTCATGATGCTTCCATAAGCCAGAAACTGAGACTTTTATGTGAGACGTCTGGACTTTTTAAAGGTTTGAAATGAGTTCAAGTTTTCAAAAAACACCATGTAGGCCAAATCCCAGCTGTCTGGGGCCAGGGCTAGTGGTTGATCCCTACAAGTTCTTTCTGGTTGTGTCACACCGAGATCCCTTCTGCAGCAGTGTCAGCATCGTACCACTAGATGGGGATCCAGAGCTGCTCAGACAGACTTTCTTAAACCAGGCGCATCCTTTTTCCTCCAACACACCTACTGCGCAGCTTTTTGAAACCTATTCTTACTGTCCTCCCCTGTAGTCACTTCCACACCTGCAGGCCCAGGCACCATGGCCCAGGGCTTACGATGCTCCTGTGCTGGGACCCAAAATGCTAGGCATGACTCCCAGGCCCCCAGTGGTGTCTGGCAACTGGCCACCCTACCTGCCCAGCCCCCCACCCCACCCCACCTGTCGGCTGTGCCAACGCAGAGAGAGCCAGCGGGCCAGAGTCAGGAAGGATCAGCCTGGTAACTATGAATATCAGTTTCCAGGCTCATCGTCGAGCCCAGTGAGGTGTTGGCGGCCTCCTCCCCTCTATGGGGGTGGGGAGGAATTGCTGTGATGGAGGCCACCTGGAACCCCACTCAGACAGCAGGTTCCTGTGAACGCCTTGGCACGGAAGGTCCTGGCACCTCCTTGGTTGGCTGTATCCACGTTTTCTGCCTCTTGCTCAGTGATTCTCAGTTTCAGCAGCTAAAAATCCCAGTGCCCCGGGCACACTCCAGACCAATTACATCCCACTCTTTGGAGGTCAAGCCTGGGTGTTGGTACATTTTAAAGCTTCATGGGAGGTTCTAACATGAGCCAAGGCTAAGAACCACTACAGCAGAAATCTAATTTCCAGGGGGTAATTGGGAATACCTTAGACCAAAGTCAGGACTTCAGAGCTGGAAGGACTCTATGAGACCATCAGGATTTGTTTCTTTTTTTAAAAAATTTTTATTTATTTATGATAGTCACAGAGAGAGAAAGAGAGAGAGGCAGAGACATAGGCAGAGGGAGAAGCAGGCTCCATGCACCAGGAGCCCGATGTGGGATTCGATCCCGGGTCTCCAGGATCGCGCCCTGGGCCAAAGGCAGGCGCCAAACCACTGCGCCACCCAGGGATCCCCAGGATTTGTTTCTATTAAATCCATGGAATCTTTTGTAAAACAAATCTTAATATTCATAGAAAAATGCATATGGACTTTACTATGTACCAAACATTCTAAATGCTTAATATTGTATGAACTCATATCATTCCCACAAAAACCATTTTTTGCAGGAGGTGGTTTTATAGGATTCCCATTTTACAGATGAGGAAACTGAGGCACACCGTAATAACAAGCCCGGGGTCATATAACTACTTTATGATGGGTCTGTGATTCAGAAACTGGGCCGTCTGACTCCAGAGACTGCCAGTAACCCTTATGCTGTTTGTGAAATCCCAAGACAGATAAGGGAGCCCGGATCCACCTGGCTAGCCAGCTCCACCTCAAGGACAGCACTGCTGGGGACACTCAGATCGAACCCAGCCCCCAGCACCCTTCCTATATGGACAAAGAAACTGTGGCCCCAAAAGGGAAGGTGATGTGGCCCAAGGTCCTTAGGAAGCATCATGCAGAGCAGGGCTGAGAGCCTGTACCTCGGGGCTCAGGGGAGGAGGTGACTTACTTCTCATTGTCGTAGTACAGCTTCCCGATGGCCCAGGCCACGATGATGGGGAAAGGCACACCTGGGGAGAGACTGGCTGTCACAGAGCTCACGGGTGGGAGACACAAGGCCTGGAAGACCCTAGTGCAGCCCAGGGCCTAGAAGTGGGAAGGGGCTCCCCAGGGTAGAGCTCGAACTCACTCATCCAGCATGCTGCACTCCACCCCCAAGTCGGGGCAGAAGGCTGTGGCGCTCACCCCACCACCCTGACCTGGCCCCGGGCTCTCAGGTCCCTTAGCCAGCTGGCCAGAGTCTGGGTGAGGAGGGGGCGCAGGGCACTCACCCCAGCCGATGCAGATGAACATCCACTTGCGCAGCCGGTCAGTGGAGTAGGTAAGCACAATGGCTGTGTGCAGGTAGCAGCCCTCCCCAAACATCCAGAAGAAGTTGGTCACGTGGAAGTAGTTGTAGGCGGCTGTCACCAACCTGCACCAGCCCTACCACCCCACCCCCGCCAGAGATGACACTTAGACTGGGGATGGGGTATGATGGCAGCAGCACCCCACCCTGGGCCTGGGACCTCCTCTCAGTAGGATTCCCCCCATTGTCCCCCTCATCCCGCAGGGAGCCACTCCCATTATACTGGGCCTCAAGGCCTGTGCCCGGCCCATTTTCACCAGGGTAGTCCCACCCAGACCTTCCCTCTGACCCTGTGCCTGCCCCTCCAGGACACACCACGTTGCTCTGGTGGACTTCGGGGCTCATGGTGAGCTGGACCACAAACCACGTGGCATTGCGCAGGATGAAGGCCGAGATAAGGTTCCAGTGGATGATGTTTCTCAGGCACCGGATGCTCCTGGGAGGCAGCGGGGGAGGGTGGGAGGGTGATGGGAGCAAGGGAGGAAAGAAGAAATGAGGGACAGGCCGCCAGCCTCACTCCAATCCAGATGTATGGATGGGGAAACTGAGGACAGGGCTGACTGGCTGAGTCACACTGGGAGGTGACAGCAGAGGCTCTCTTGATGCCCCACAGACCCCTTCCTACCTGAGACCCATCCAGACCTAAGGTCTGGGGCAGAGTCTGCTACATAGCAGATGCTCCAGGGACCAGGGGCTTCTGGCTTACTGGGGATCACCTCCTCCCATAGCACCCCTACTTTCCCTGTAGCTCTAGGGTCTAAAGACATAAAAGGTTTCTGGTGGGATGCCTCTCTCCCAGCGTTCAGGCCTGATACTCAGCTCCTGCTCCCACCCCCATTCCTGGCACAGACCTGTCTGGCACTGCTAGCTGCCTCCTTCAAACACAAAGGGCTCCCCCTTCCAGGCCTCCCAGATGGGTGCATCCATGCGTGGGTGGGGGTGGCACAAGGCAAGCCTGGGCTTCAGCCATCACTGGTCCCCCCAGTAGTTACTGGGCTGGGTCGGGGGCAGAAATGGCCCTGCCAGAGGTTCCAAGAGACCTGGAGCTCCTATGTCTGTCTCCCTCCCACAGAGGTGAGGGGGCAGGGGCCCCTCTTGCCAGCAGCCCCTCCCCCAGGGCTGCTTCCTGCATCTCACTTTTCTACCCTGCTCAAGGCCAGAGGCCAACACTGAGTCTTTCTTACCTGAGCCGCAGAAAGAGGACAAAGGCCACCAGGAGGGCCACCAGGGAGATGCAGTGGCCCAGGTAGTTGATGATGACAGCGACATGGTAGTGTACCTTGCTCTTCTTCTGAAGTAGGGGAGAGGGACAGAGGTGAGGCTCCCATATAGCTGCACCCCTGCACCCGCTCGCCATGTAAGGACACCGCCCTCAGCTGGTGGAGATGGAGTTGGTACTAACGGTAGTTATTCCCCTTCCCGAACCCGGGCTGGGTGTCGAGCATGGCCCTGGAGTGGAGCCGTCCAACTTGAGCCTGTGTCTGTCTCTGAATCCCATGCTCTGCCCATTGCTCCGTGTGATTGGACAAATACCAGCTAACTCGGGTCTCCACGTCCCACGGGGTTCCCCACTCCACGTGCACAAAAGTGTGTGCACGCTTCTCACACGCAAGTTTCTGCTCCGCCCAAATACCACATGGCCCTCGTGACCGCGGACACCAACCCTTTAGGACTCTTTTCCTCACCCACTTCCGAGTGGAACCACTAGGGATGATTACCCCCAAATCCCTCCTGCTGCAGTGGGAGCCTGCTCCTATCAGCCATGGGAGGGATGGCAGGTGCACCCACAGAGCCATTACAGGCCGTAAAAAAAAAAATCTCTCTTCGCTCCGTAACTCACTTTCCAGGCCCTACCCTCTGGCCCTGGGGAAGAAATGGGCTCCCTTCCCAGGATTGTATCAAAGTCCCCGATGTTACCACTTCCTTCATTTCATAGACTAAAGGAAGCTGAGAGATGTGGTGGTTTCCTGTTTCCAAGGTAAGCTCCATAAAATGATGAAGCCTTTCCATATACAGGGTATTTTCATACTGGTGGTCTTCTCAACCTGTCAAGGCCACCATGTAGGAGGACCTGGAAGAGGGTCTATACCTTATTTTGCAGAAAACCAGGCACAAAAGTATGTTGACTCATTTAAGGTCCCTCAAACTCAAACTACCTCTGGACCAGCACAGGCAGACCGGCAAGGTGTCTCCTACCCCATAATGGGGGACCGATGGCCCCCAGTGCCCAGCTCTATGCAGACTCCTGTCCTCCAGTAGCAAAGCCTCCCTCCACCCTATCCTAGGTCCCGAGAGGGCAGGGCCCAGGGACCCAGGGTCTGGCACAGCAGAGCTCCGTAACTGTGTGTGAAGGAAGCAAAACTGGTTGCGGAAAGCAACCCGCTTTGCAAAGCGGGTGTGTACAGGGGTCCTTGTTAGCACCTCCTCCCCTTATTCTTTCCAGGTTCTGGAGTGGGGCCAGGTCTTGAGTCACACAGAAACTGGCTAGTGTTGAGAAAAGGGTAAGTTCTTGAAGGCCTTGTTCAAACTTTCAGAGATACCAAAGAACGCCTGGCTCTCCCTAGAACTTCCCGTCAGAATTCCAGAATCTGTGGATGTCAGAGCTGGTCCTAAGCATCGAGTCCAGTCCTACTCTTCTTCTAGATGAGGAAACTGAGGCCCCAACTCACTCACCCAAGATCAAAGGATGTACCTCTGCAGCAGGACACCTAGCAGGCATCGGAGAGGAGTCCAAGCCCTCCCTTCCCTGCTCTTCCGAGTGCCCAGCACACACCCCTCCTGCAGGCACATCCTCACTGAAGAACCTCCGAGGTTCTGGAAGGCCCAGGGAGCTCTGTTCTAAGGGGCAGATTTTCCTGGCAGAGGCTTTCAGGAACGTGGCAGGAAATCACATTAGCAACTCTGTGCTCAGAAGGGTTGAGACTCACTGAGGTGTAAATGAAGACAGAGAAGCAGGGGAGAGAGAGGGAGAGAGAGAGGGAGGGAGGGGAGCAGAGGGTACCCATCGCCACCATGCAGATGGGAAGGGTCTCGGAGTGCCTGGCAGTAGATGCCAAACCCAAAGACTCCAGGAGATATGAACACATCCAGCCTGTCTGGGAGCTGCTACTTAATTTCCTTTCATTAGATTTCCCACAAATCCATGCTGCGGAGCTCCTGAGTAATAACGATGCCTGGGAGCTAAAGGGCGTGACGCCCCAGCTTTGTCTGCAGGCCCAGGTGGGCAAGACGAGCGAGCGGGGTGTGTGGGGAACCCCTTCACCACCACCTGCCATCAGCTACCCCCTGCCCGCCGTGACCCTGCTGCAGGCTGAGCCTGGGTCATGGGGTTTGAGGCAGGATGAGTGGGGTTTATTAAGCACCTACTGTATGCTGGGCACTGTGCCGGGTGCTTTATAGATGCTACAGCTTTCCTTTCTCACAATAGCCCTCAGAGACTGTCCTTCTGTCTCTGTTTTTCCAGTTGAAGAGGCTGCATAATTAGCCTGAGCTGCCCGGCCAGCAATGGGAGTCCAGGTCGGCTTGGCCTTCTAGATCCCCTCCTCCCCGGTGCATTTCTAGGAGACAAATGGGCTGAGAACAGGCACTCTCACCGTCTGGGGCCCAGGATCCTCAGAGGGCTTCTGCAGGGAGGATGGGGGCTGGTGAAGGGTTTTCTCCACCAAGGCTGAAAGGGGAGAACGGGGCCAAAGCATTCAGGGGGCTGCTTCTGTGTGACTCCTCCAGCTGGAAGGCCCTGGCTGGTCGGAGCCCTGGGGCAGTCTGAGAGATGGCAACCAGCCACAGGGTTACAGTGCAGAGAGCCCAAGACACAGCGTGGTCACCCCAGGAGACAGCCAGCTACACTCAGGAGATAGCCTGACACCCTTCAAGACGGTCAGCAATAGCCTGAGACGTGGCCAATGACACCCAGAGAGAGCAGCCAGCAATATCCTAAGAGGCACCCAGTGATACTCCAAGAGACCCTACTGATGGCCTCCATTAATGGCAGAAGCAGCTGGGACAGCTGAAGGACAAATGGACACCGCCAGCCCCTGGGAACCTGACCAGCTCTGTCCCTGTTCAGCTTGGAGACCTAGTGCCCGCTGGTAGCCTGAGGAAGGTGTCACGGTGTGACACTGGGCACAGGCCACTCCACTGCACTCTTCAATGGCCAGAATCCAATAAGAAATTAGTGCCTGGCCAATTTCGACCACGACTCTGCAAGACACACCTTGTCCCAAGTGGTGGCAGTGTCAGACCTATCCCGAAGCCATGGGTCCCCACGGCTCCTGCCGAGCCTCCCAGCCCTGGTCTCTCTCCCACTGTGGTTCTTCCTCACCAGCCGGTTTCCCGGGGTGCTCCCTCACCCCACCAGTGGGCACTCCAGCCCCTTGCTCCTCCAAGTGTGGTCCCCGAACCAGCAACACCACCATCACCTGGGAGCTTGCAGGAATCTGAAGACTTGAAACATCTCTTAAGCCCCGCCCCAGACTCACTGAGCCTGAATCTTCATTCCGGCAAGATGCCCCAGTGATTCTCAAGCGTTTCAGAAATTCTGGTCCTTGAACCAACACCGCTGTGAGCAGTGAATCTCAGCCCATGAGCCTACACCTCAGGATCCCTTTCTTATCATATCAAGATGTGCCTTCCCAGGACGTGACCGGGCTCCCCAGCTCAGCAGAGTGTAGGAGGGGGAGCCGCACGGAAGTGTCATAGGAGGGGGGGGGAGTGGCTGGGGAGGATGTCACTGCTGTGAAGGGAGACAGTGTCTGGAGGGTGTTGATAGGCAGCATGGGGATCAGTGCAGGGTGGTACTGAGTGCAAGGGGGTCAGTGCCATTCCCGGGGCTGGACCATGAACAGGTCCAGCTTCCCGGGGGGGGGCCTGTCCCCTGGTGGTGGTGGCTGTAGGCAGTCTCCTTCCTCCCTGGCCTGGCCTCTGGGTGCCCTCACAGTCCCATTTCACATTTTACGAGTCCCATTTCACGGGGCAGCCCTTCTGCAAATCCATTATCTGCAATCCCCTGGGGCACTGGTGCTTAATTAGGGCTTAGCCCAGGCCTGGAGCTGAGAAACCGGCTGCTCCATTAATTGGAGACTTTTCTCTTCCTCTTCTCGATAACTAGGGAGTGGATGGAGAATCTTGAGAGTGGGGAGGGGGGCGAGGCTAGAGGCTGGCAGAAAGGAATGGCATTTTCAGTAATTAAATTAATTGATTACCCAGAGTGCCAGGCAAGCAGGGGCTGCCGGGGAAAGGGGTAGGTGGCAGCCCCCACCGAGTTGCCAACCAGAGGAAGGAGGTGCCAGTGTTACCTGGTGTCCTCATCAATGCCCCCTATCCCCCAGGTGTACCCTACAACCTCCCCTTGCCCCAGGTGAGAGAGAAGCAGAGGCATGGCAGGTGGATGGAGTGCCCTCCACAGGCAGACGTGACCCTCCCTCTACCAGGAGGCAGACACTGTCTTACTCTGCGCCCTTTGACAGAGAGGGAAGCCAGGCCTTGGTGAGGCTAAGTTACCTGCCCAGGGTCACACAGCACATGTGCTGGGACCGGAGTTCACACTGCAAACCACCTGCCTCCAAAGCCTGTGCTGTTCCTGTTAGACTTCCAAAAAGAGGGACTGATGAGAAGCTGGTGTTCCCCAACACTCCTCCTCCTCCTCCTAACCCCACTGGTAGAGGGAGAGACCCCTGTCATGAGCAGAAGGGGACGGAGCTAAGGGCAGTGTCCCCCATCAGCCAACTAGAAGGATGGGGCTGAGATTAGAGCAGGAGGGATTCGGGTGAACCATTGAGCTTCTCCTGACGTTCAGGGGGCTCCAATGCAGGGGGAAGGTGGGGAGCAGCTGTGGCTCTCCAGCTTTGCTCCTGTTCAAGAGGGCGACAGACACCTGCTCCTCAGGGGTGGGGGGAGAGTTGTTTTAAGCCAGGAGGCTGGTGACCTGATGTGCAGTCGGAGATACACCATCTGCCTCAGGCTTTGCAGACCTAGCAGGACACAGTGGGGTGCAGTGGAGGGCTGGAGACTTCTTGCCTTAGCTGCACCTTCCCCCTACCATCTCCCTGTGGGCGTGAGCTGTGGTCTAAAAGTTGCCCACAGCGCAGACCTGCCTTTCTGCCTGTGAGCCCCATCTCCTGTGTGCCTGGGAAGGAGCTCCCCACCAGGCTGAGTGTTCTTGCCCATCCCTCCTCCCCCGCCACCAAGCCCAGATCTTCTGGCCCAACTATGTGTCCTGATCCCACTTCCTTCCCCCAGTGGAATGTGGGTGCCCTCATCTGCAACCCCAGGACTTCCCAGGCTGGCTTACTGTGTGTGGGCCTAGCACCCTGCTAAGGTCAGGTCATTGGGTGGGGGACAAGCCAACCTACTGTGGCCTGTGGGGGACCATGTGGCTGGCCTGTGAGTAGAGATGCCAGCAAACGTCTCTCTGGCATCCCTAGTAACTCACCCGGCGAAGCAGCCCCACCAAAGAATGTGCCTTACTTCTAGGTTAAACTTTGCCCTGTCTGTGCAGCTTCAGGAAGGAGAGGGCAAGCTCCCAATGGCTCAGTGACAAGAAGCCAGGCAGCCTGGGGAAGGGCATCACCAAAGCACAAAGGGCCAGGTGGGGTGCAAGGTGGGGGAAGCTGTTCTTCCTCCATCCACCTCACTTCACACAGAGCACTTGGTGGTGGGCAGAAGAGAGCCCAGACTCCGAAGCCCAGGTTCCAGGCTGTGACTCACTTTGGCTGTGTAACCTTGCCCAAGTCACTCCCTCTTTCTGGGACTGTCTCCCCACCTGCAAGGTGAATGGGTTGCACTAGATCTGAGTTATTCACTTTTTCCCCCTTCAGAAAGTCTCCCGTGGCTCTTGTTCAAAACAGATTCCCATGGGACGCCTGGGTGGCTCCGTTGATTAGGCATCTGCCTTCGGCTCAGGTCATCATCCCAAGGTCTGGGATTGAACCCGCATAGGGCTCCCTACTCAGCGGGAGCCTGCTTCTCCCTCTACCATTTCCCCTGCTTGTGCTTTATTTCTCTCTCACTCTCTTCCTGTCAAATAAATTAAATCTTAAAAAAACAAACAGACAAAAAAAAAAAAAAAAACAAACCCATATTCCTGGGTCTTCCTTGGAGAGTTTCATTTATTGGCTGTTGCCCCTGGGGCATGTATTTGAACACGTACTCTGGGTGGTTCTTATTACCCCGCAGATTAAGAGGGGATGGAGGGTCTCCAAGGTCTCTTCCAATTTAGATCTTTTAGGCACTGGAATTCTCAGGACTGAGTGCATCAGCCCCCCTCTTCCATGCCCCAGAAGCCCAAGGCCCTCAGACAGCTTGGGGTGCCCTCCTGTCTCCCCTTTGCTTTCTGCTCACTCATTTTTCCAGCTCCACCACCCTCTCCTTCCTCAGCACCCACTGAAAGGGTCTGTGGAGATGGAGGGAGGAGAAATGGGGGGGCAGAGGTAGCAGCAACACCAGATATACCCACGCCTCTGCCAAGTGCCACCCTTAAAAGATTATTCATTGTGGCGTTATTTGTAATAACCAGGCTGAGAATAAAGATTGGTTAAACAAATGATGGTACATCTGCACAATGTGATATTATGCAAATGTGAAAAAGAACGAAGATGCTCTTTATGTATTGATACAGAATAATCTCCAAGATGGATGATCATATGCAAAAAGCTAGGTGTCAAACAGTGTGTATAACATGCAATATTTGGATAAAAACAAAAAAGGGTATTATATATATATAATTTTGTATAAAATTTTATATATATATATATATATATATATATATATATATATATATATATATATATATTTAAAATCACTCACACATGCAGGCAATGTCTGGAAGAGCACCTAGAAACTGGCATTACCTCCGGGGAGGGAACCCAGTGGCTGGGACAGGGTGGGAAGGAGACTACTCTGTTCTCATTTGTACCTTTTGAATTTTGTATCATGTGTAAGCATTATCTTCTCAAAAACATTTAAATATTTCAAAGCTCTCCAAGGGCTCTTTCCAACTGCACTGCTTCCCCCCCACCATCTTTGATTCTGACACAGTGCCCCCTGGTGGGTCCCGGATGTGCTATGCAGGTGCGTGGTGTGGAATGGATGAGAATCTGTCCCAGGAAATGCAGGTGGAAGGAGGGAAGGAGCATGGACCCAACTCATCTGTGTCAGAGCCAGCTGCTGCCCTCTCAGCTCAGCCTCCCTTGGGGATGGCTCCTCACAGGCCCGGGGCCCACGTAGCAGGCCCAAACCTGAGCTGGGGCTTGACCCACCGACCACATGGACAGCCTCACCTCCCCACTGAGGATCTCCTGGCACTCGGAGTAGTTCACGCGGGCGGCCCAGCTGCCATTGGCCAGGCACTCCCTGTAGCCATTGTCTGGAAGAAGGAGAGAGAGTCAGGGTAACCCATGGGCTCCTCTCCCAAAGAGCAACCCAGGCATCCATCTGTCCATTGGTTTGTCCATCTATCCATCCATCTGGGCCAACACAGGGCCTGCTTGCTGGGGGACTCTTGGTTGAAGCTAAGGAGAGTGGTTTCCTACTATCCCATCTTGCCTCTTTCTGCCCACTGGCCCCAGTAAGGGGCTCAGTGGCAGCCCCAGTGCCTGCCCATGGGGCCATGGTTCTGCCCACCCAGGCTGCTGTGATCATGTCCATGGGACAGGTTCATGGGCAGGCCTGACCAGCTTGCTGGAGCTGTTTCCTTGCAAGGCTTCTATGGCAGCAGATTATGTGGTGGGTGCCCTTCTGAGAAATGTCCCATTTTGGCATCTCGCACGGCAGCAGAAGGATGGTGAGATCTGATGAGTCAATGCTCCCTCGCCGAGGCTGGGCATGATATGGTGGCAGGGTGTGTGGTGACAGCTCATGTGGCACACTGAAATGATGGTCTCATATGGTGACTACCCGTGGTGAGGCTTCCCGCGGGGGATCCTCACACGGCAGTGTTCACATGGGGTGGGCCTCAAAGGGCAGGTGTTGGGGAAGGGCCTTGTGGTGGCATTTCTCCAACAGTAGAGTTTATGCTAGAGGGTCATGTGGGGGATTCTTAGGACAGAAAATGATGCATGGCAGGAGTGTGCTGGGAGATGTCACAGGGGGTGGGTCCCACAGGATCCCCTACAATTAGCTCCCAGCCTGGCACATGGCACTTAGGGGGAAAGACAGGAGGGAAGCCCAGGGAGGTGTAGGGGTCTGTGCAGCCACCCAACTGGACTGTGGCCCGGAACCTGTTGCCTTCTAGAGAGATGGGCAGGAGCCCTGTGCTCTGAGATGAGGCCTGGCTTCAGGGATCTGGGGTGGTTGGAACTGCATCCGGGGTCCTTCTCACCCTCCCTCCTGCCTGTACCCCCAGCAGGCACCAGGGCCCTAAAATCCAGTAAGGAAGGGACCAAGGGAGATCCAAACCTGGAGTCTTTTCTCCTTTGCTGGCAGAGGTCACCCTGCCCCACCCTGTACCCCTCTGGCATTGGTGGCTTTAAATATGTTTCCTAGAGTTCATTCTGGCCCTGAGTCCAGGCAGCACTGGCTAGAAGAAAAATTGAATCTTGAGCCAACCCCTTGCTGCAGGCCTTTTCATGGCTCACACTGACTCTCACGCCACATCCCCACCCCAGCAGGGCTTGAGGATGGTTGGGGAAGCTGCTTGAGTCCCAGTCCCTGAACCTGGAGCCTGGGCAGGGGCAGCACACTGCATGGGAGACAGAGTGGGTGCCCTAGGCCCAGTTCAGTACTGCTGGGCTGCAAGAATGACCTCAGCCCACCAGCCTCCGGAGCTGCTGAGGCCCCTCTTGTCATTTATAAGGGGAAGGGCTTGGCCAGCTGATCCCCCAAGGGAGCAGTCCAGCCTGGACCTGCCTCGGTGCTGGCAGCAGCAGGACAGGAGAGAGATGATGGGGAGGGTGATGGGGGAGCTATTGTTGCCACCAGGAAAGAGGGAGCCATGGTCTGGCCCCAAGGACCACAAGGCTGAGGCCTAACGTAACGTGCTCCCTAGCCACTCTGCTGAGAGGCTGTTCAGGCTGCAGCATGCCAGTGGGGAAATGAGGCTAAATGCATTTTTAAAGCTCTGCTCAGCTTCCTTTCCCAGCAGAGCTGAGCCCTTGGGCAGAGTTGGCCAAGGAGCTGCTGATTCTCTCCTAATTGCTAAATGAGGGATAAGCTACTAGAGGGCTGAGGGCTCAGTGACTGGGATTTCAGGAAGGTCTGGGAGGAGGCAAGAAGCCAGGGGAATCCAGTGTTCCTTCTGTAGACCAGATGTGCCTGGGACCAGGCCACTCTGGAATGTCTGCAGAGAAAGGGACTTTGGGCAGAGATCTGGTTGGAAGAGGCACAGGTAGGGGGCAGGGAAATAGGGAGGTGGTCTTGAGTCGAGAGAAGCAGCATGGAGTAGTGTGAAGAGCACGGCTCTCAACCCAAGTAGCCCAGGTTCAAATCCTGATGCCACTCCTTCCTGTGTGACCTTGGGCAAGTCACACAACCTCTTGGCTTCCTTATCTGCAAGATAGGAATAAACTTAACGGCTCCTGCCTCAGTGGCTGAGTGTGCCGAGGGCTTGGAGCTCTACCTGGCACGTGGTATGCACTATTATTTTCATTATTATTGTCTTTGAACTGTTACTTATATAACATCATATAAGATTCTGGACACATTACGTATCCCTCTCAGGTAGGGGGTAATGGAAGGGGGTACAGGAGATGCCCTGTTGGCTCAAGCTCCCCTTTCGCACCCCACATGTGGGGCAGGAGCCAGGATCCCCTCCCAGGCCAGGTCATCCAGAGGGAGCAGGCTTTGGTGGGAAGGGAGGAGGTGATCTTGAAAGAAAAGGCAGGCCCCACCCGCAGCAAGTCGTTGCCAGGGAGGATGCGACCTCCTTGTCTTTAATTGCTGAGCTGAGCAGTCCTCCCAGAGAGTCTCGGGAAAACGGATATTTTTGGAAAAGCTTCCCATCCCTTTGAAGATCAGATGCAGCAGGAGGGAGGGCATTATGGAGAAGGCCTGGAAGTCCTGGCAGCGCCTCATCAGTAAATGAATTAATTAGTGCCTAATGATTAGGTACAATTCTGGGTTCCCAGGCACTACTGATTACAGGGTGTGTCCCTCATCTTCCTGGCACTGGGGGGCACCTGCAGAGGGAGAGTCTTCTAGCCCTGCGTCCACGTCCAAGGACCATCACCCCCAGCTCTTCTGAGATCAGAGAGGGAAGAGCAAGGGAGCAGAGAGAGCATCTCACCCAAACCTCTCCCCCATCCTGCAGGTGGAGAAACAGGCCTGGAAAGGGCAGTGCAGGGGGCTCCTTAGCCAGTTACAGGTGGAGCTGGGGCTAGAACCCTGGATGCTTGGCTTCCGCTTAAGGCAGGGCTGGCTAATCGAGCAGCACGTGCCCAGGCACTGAAGTCTTTGTTGGGGTCATGTCAAGTCACCCCTGGAGACAAGAGCTCACAAGCTCACGTGGAGAGGCAGGGCTTGCAGCCACAGGGAGCCTGGCCGGCCCCACTCAGGAGTGTGGACTCAACCACGGAGTCAATAGGGGGCCAGAGAGCATTGACTCCAAGCATGAGCATGCCAGGATGGGATACCAGGATCAGAGAGCCGGTGCCTTGGACCAGGGCAGTGGTGCACCCGTGGGATCTCCATCCCATGAGAAAGTTGGCTCAGACGGGAAAGTCACTTTGGAGGTGAAATCGACAGGACCAGTGCCATGGAGAGACAGAAGGGCCTCCTCCTGGGAGCAGCCTCTCTGTCCCCCACCAGGCAGCAGCCCCTGGGAGCTCCAGGAGGACTGGATGCACGCATTGAGTGCAGCTGTGGCCCTGCCTCCACACTTTGTGACCTTGGGCAGCTGTCAGCCTCTGCCTCCATTTCCTGATTGTAGAATGGCCCTACTAAACTGGAGGCTGGTGGACAGCGCACACCAAGCTCTCTTAGGTCCTCTTGCCCTTCCCCCTTACCTGCTCTCGGGGTCCCCCACCCTCCTCTTAGGGTCTAAGAAGTGGTTGCAGACACATGAATCTGTGTGGTCTGGCTGTTCCAGCCTCCTCACGAGTCCCAGTGCCTCCCCAGGGCCCTCCCCTTCTTGTTTGCAGCTACCAACCCTAATGTTCTTAATCTAGCTGGCAAAGCAGAGGGGCGGGAGGAGGAACGTGGGGGTTCTAAGCTGAACTAAGTCTTAGAAGCCATGCCATCCAGCCCTCTCCATTGTCAGACCACGGGCCAAAGGGCCATGAGAGGGAGAAAATGTATAAGATTACTTGGCAAGTTTCCAAGTGAACCACTTGGTATCTGGACACCCTTGGTCCCCACCTTGGGCCTCTGAGCCCAGGCTCACTGGACCCCAAGAACCCACCTAGGGACCCCCACCCTTCCCTCAGATAGGACAGGGCCCCTGGCCTGCAGCTGTTTCTCTCTTCAGGAACAGGAGCTGTGAGTCATTGACAGGGGTGAGCAAATTAATTCTGAGGGTGACAGGTGGTATAACAAGGAGCTGCAAAGCCTGGAGGTAGGGGCTCAGGGCCTCAGGGTAGCAAGGTGTTTACGTGGGAATCAAGTATCCAGAAGACCCTGGGCAGTCCCCCCTCACCCCTACCGGACCTGTGAGCCTGCTTGTAAGGCTAAGCACCCCACCTGTGGCTCTAAAACTGGGTCCCCCACCTCCTGGCTGCAGGGCCCTGGACAGACCTCCTAATCTTTCTGAGCTCAAAGTGGGGGCTATTCTGATGATCCCTGCCCTTCCTCATAGGGTGGTTGCAGGCTTATCCCTGACCAGTTTGTCAATTGCCAAAGAAAGTGTCAGACAGACCTGCAGGCAAATTCCAGCTTCACCTCTTACCAGCTGGTGACCTTGGGCGAGTTCCCTAACCTCTCTGAGCCGTGGAGGCCTCAGTATATAATGAGAACTATATGGTTGCATGGAGCATCGCCCAGGGGTATTGTGGGAATCGGCGGTAAAGAGCACAGAGCTGGCCTTTGGTAAATGGTGGTTGTATCCATGAGAGGTATTATAGTATTGTCATTGTCATTATTATTCCCTCCACCTCCAACAAGTCCCAAGCTCTCCCCATTCTGTCCCGCCTCCCAGCAGATGGTCCGCCCTCCACAGGCTCCCTTACTTGTGGTGTTGTAGCGGACACCGTAGAAATAGGCGGGGCAGGGTCGAACCACCAGCTGCCCTGCAGGGCTCCGGGGCCAGCAGGTGCCAATGAGATCCACGGATGCATTGCACTGCAGTCCTGGGGGGGGGGGGCAGAGACAGCTGGTGAGCCAGAGCAAGATCCCTACTCCAGGATCCTCCCCACCTCCCCACACTCACACACCAACTGGGAACAAGATGGGAGCAATGAGCTCAGTGTAGAGATGAGCTCATACTAAGCAGAGGAGACAACAAGGAAAGGAATCTGAATTTGATGCTATGGCACTAGGGATCCAGCATGGGTTCCAGAGTAGAGGAGGAACAGAGACAGCCGATGGTGGTGTTAAAAGCTGAGGTCTTGACTGGCATTTAGAGAAAATGCTGGACACACTTCAGGTCCTCTGCTCTGTAGCCCGAGGACACTTCTCTTGGGCCCTCATTTGGTATAGATTGGACCTCTGAGACTTCACAGTCTGGAACAGCCTAGAAGAGACCAGTCCTTGATCCAGCCCCCTCCCACATCCAGGGAACCAAACCATATCTGCTCTGGTTCTACAGTGAGGAGCCAGTTAAATGAAGTTGGCTGAGCTTTTCTGTGGCCTGATAACCACATTTAATGGACATACAGTGTTTGTGCTTGGACTGTGCTGGGCCCTAGCAGACGACTGATCAAGAAGGGAACCATAGGGAGAAAAAAGAGGGAGAGATACCCAGGGGGGGCGGTGGAAAGGACAGTGAACCAGTAGTCTGGAGCATTAACTTCACACTGGGCTCTGCTACTAATTTGCTGTGTGACCACAGGCATGTCGCTTGCTTTCTCTAAGCCTGCGTGTCTTTTCTTTTTTTTTTTTTAAGTTTTTAAAAAAAGATTTAAAAATTAAAAAAATATATCTTTATTTTTTATTTTTTAAAAGATTTTTAAAAATGTATTTATTTGAGAAAGACAGACAGGCAGAGATCATGAGTGAGGAGGAGAGGGAGGAAGAGAGGGAGAAGGAGGCTCCCTGCCAAGTAGCTCCCCCCCGACTCAGGGCTCAATCCCAGGACCCCAGGATCATTATGTGAACCAAAGACAAAGGCAAAGGCAAATGCTTAACTGACTGAGCCACTCAGCTGTCCCTATTTTTTTTTTAAGATTTCTTTTTAATATATGAGAGAGAGTGAGCTGAGGGAGGAGTAGAAAGAGAGGGACAAGTGGACGCCATGCCAAGTGCGGGCCCTAAGGCTTGATCCTAGGACCCTGAGATCATGACCTAAGCAGGAACCAAAAGTCAGATGCCTAACCAGCTGAGTCACCCAGGTGCCCCAGCCTTTGTGTCCTTATAATAAAATGAAGAGGTTGGATCTGATGGGAAATTCTTAATCTCAGTCTAGTGGAAGCTTTAAAGGTTCATAGAGACTCTGAAGTTAGATGAAAAAATTGGTGTATATGTGCATCTTAATTGGGAAAAGGATGTGGCTTTCATTAGATTCTCAAAGAGGTCTGTAACTCAGAAAATGATGTCAAAGTCTCCTTCCAAATATTTTCCCTTTTTGAAGAGCTTTTTGGAGTGGAGTGTGTGCACATGTGTATGTGTGTCCACTGGGGGAAAGTTGAGGCCACAGTAATACTTCTGGAGATAGGGAGGCTTTTAGTCTCCAGGAGTAAAGGCCTGACTGAGGATGGCCCTGTCACTCCTCCTGATGCTGCCCCTTCTTTCTCTGCCTTTTTTTTTTAAGATTTTATTTATTTATTCATGAGACACACACACACACACATACACACACACACACACACAGAGAGAGAGAGAGAGAGAGAGAGGCAGAGGGAGAAGCAGACTCCATGCAGGGAGTCAGACGTGGGACTCGATCCCGGGTCTCCAGGACCACGCCCTGGGACGAAGGTGGTGCTAAACCGCTGGGCCACCCGGACTGCCCTTTTCTCTGCCTTTTGATGCCCTTCTTCCACAAAACGCTGGCACACCAGTCCTGTTGAGACCCAGTGTGTTGATCCCAATGGGAAGAGGTGTGTAATTCTTGGGACTGGTGCAAGAATGCACAGACAAGCCAGGAAGAGCCATGAACCAATGCAGGGGCAGCCTCTTCAGGGTTGGGCGTCAGCAGCTGCCAAGCTCTGGCTGGGGCCCACCTGCCTGCTCCTCCCCACTGTACTCAGTCTCTCAGGAAACAGCTCTGGGTTAGATTGGCATCTTTTCCCTGATGGATGCAGGGCAGGGCCAAGCAGCTCTGGTACCCGATGCTGGCTTTTCTTTCTAATCAAAGCTATTCATAGGGTGTTCCTACAAACTGGGGCTTAGGGGCAGAGGCTTTGAGACCAAGCGGTTTAACTGAAGAGAAAGAAGTCTGGATTGGAGCTTCATGGACACGAGGAGTTGGCAGGCCGGGCCAGGCCTTGGCATTGAGCCACACTGCAGCCTCCGTGAATGGCATCACGGGGCGGTAAGGAGTGGGTAGGGGAGTGAGGAAAGCAGGTTGCGATTGTAATCTCTCATGGGTCATGCCCATTGTGCTGAGCCCAGAGGCGGGGGAAGCTAGAGGCAAGCGGCCACGAGGAAGGAGGGATAATACTATGGAACATGCTCTGCTTTTTCAAGGCCCATCCTCATCTATTTCATGGATCCTCATCCACCCTGCCATGTCATCAGTCCCTTTTTACAGATGAGGAAACTGAGGCACAGGGAAGTTAAGTGACTTGCTCCAAGTCATGGGTCAATGAGTGAAAGAACCAAGAAGTATAGCCAGGTGTTTTTGACTCTACACGCTCTTTCCATTATGCCATGTTTCGTGCCAACAAAGGGAGGGGAGAAAGCCAAGGAGGCAGCGGGGAAGGGAGAGACATTTTTGAGGGCTGTGTGCCAGGCACATGCCAGGTACCTTGCATATAGCATCTGATTTAGCGACATAATTGTCCCTTCCTCAGACGGTTGTTCATTCACTTACTCGCTCACTCATTCACTCACAGTGTCTTCTGAGCTGGGGGCGGGGAAGACTTCATGGAACATCATGTGTGGCAGCACCCGGAACTTGTCTATCATGCTTTCTCAGTGTAGGATCTGCCCTCCACCCCCCTCCCTCTTCTCTCTCTTGCCCTGGACAGTTCCCCAGAGCCTCTTTGGGAAAGAACAGAGGGTCAGGCAGGACTGGGCAGGACTGGGCGCCAGCCACAACCAGGACCAGCTTAGAGCCAAGGCGGAAACCAGCTACCAAGCAGGTGACCTTTCTGACCTTGATCACCAGGCACCAGCGATGGCCAGAGTCCTGACCCACCCACAGCTGGAGGGGAGGTATCTGGGAGGAATAGAGCAGATGTTATTTACTTCTAGTCTCCTATGGATTAGGGTTCCCTAACACCTGCCTACGTGAGGGCTAATTCTCTCCAGTAAGGAAACTGAGGCCCAAGTAGTCACACAAGCACTAAGAGGCAAAAGCGCGATTTGAACACTGACTTTGACACCTGACCTGGGCTCTTCCCACTGCACCACAGAGGTCCCCAGTCTGCACCACTGGCCCTCATAGCATTTGGTTGTACTGTTTCTAGCCCCTGCTGCCCCCGCAACGCCTCTGCGTGTGTGTCTCTCTCTTCCACTCCCTCTTTCCCTCTCTCCTCCCTCCTGCTCCCCCGCAGCCTGCTCACAGAAGGCTACGTGGGGGGTAGGGCGTGGGGCAACACTGCCGTGGACATGACCTTTACATTAAGAGCCCAGAAAATCCTGGACGGAATGGAAGACTACGCGAGACGGGAAGAAAGCGAGGGACAAGGCTTCAAGAATGAACAGAAACCACCAGCACCACTCCTGCCCCCAGCAGAACTGGGTGGGCGGGGTCTGGCGGAGGGGCGTGGCCAGAGGAGGCGTGGCCAGAGGCACAGGGCCAATCAGGAGCGGCGAAGGGGCTCAGGCTCTGAGACAGGAGCCCCGGAGTGGAGGGTTTGGGCTTGTGGACGCAGCGAGAGGGCTGCGGAGCCAGAGGCGGGGATTAGAAGAGGAAAGGAGGCCGGAAGAAGAGGGTCCAGGAGGGCCCGGAGGTCGAGGGAAGGGAGGAGGCTGCAGGACAGGGCCTCAGGCGCCGGGCCTGGCAGAGGGCGCTGCCCACTGGACTTCCCGGCCCGACTGCCCCAAAGCACCTTCCGGCAAAGTGCCCTACGTCGGGGCTCCCCGAGAGTTCAGCTCTTTCAGCTCCGGCCTGCAGGCACGCGGTCCCGGGGGATCCTGCGGAGCCCGGCCTCGAAGGGGAAGGGCACGTAGGACTCCGGGCCGGGAGAACCAACGATCTTTGGACACTGCTGTGTCCTTCATACCAGGCAGTGTGAAGGGCGCTTCAGGAATCTCACCCCGCTTAGTCAATCCATTTAACCACGTGAAGAGAAGAAAAGTGGGGGGCGTGGGAGCAAATGGGGAAGGAGAAGGGGAGTGAGTGAGAGGGAATAGAAGGAGACAAAGACACAGAGAGTAAAGCAGGGAAGGGTAGGCTGAAAGCCAGGAGAGAAAGGTACAGGGAAGAACTATTCCAGGGGTGCGGAGGGTGGGGAAGGGACTGGGTGTCCTAGTTGGGAAGGGGAGAAGAAGGAAGGGAGGTCTCAGTGTCACTTGGCATGAGGGCTAGGAAGACCTAGAGGTCAGAGCTGTTGCAGACTCTGATTCTTGAGACGGTGTCCCCTCCGGGTCCCACCGGCACAAATGTCCAACCCCTCCTGCTCTCCTGGGGGGTATTTTCCCACTTGGACATTATAGTTCTGCGGTGGGGAGCAGTTTGGACCAGAGTAAGCCAGCCTTGCAAATAGCCAGGTGGATTTACCAGCCAGGAGCAGAAAGCCTGAGCTACTATTATAAGTCAACTCCTCCCCACATCAACCGATCCCAGGACAATCCTCCTGGCCAATTAAGTCATAGATGGGGAGGAATAATAAGTATTCTTCATTCAACAAGTTTTTACTGACCACCTGAGAAATTTTTTTCTAGGAGCAAGGGACACGGTACCTGTTCTAGGGGCTAGGAATACAGTAATGAATAAAATAAGGCCTCTGCCCTTGGTGGGAGGCAAGGGGTGTGGCAAACAGACAGACAGACATATCTGTTAAGCAGTGAGAAATGCTATGAAGAAAAAGCAAGCAGGGAAAGGAGGTAAAGCCTGACAGGGATGCTATTTTAATTTGGTGCTGGGACACCTGAGTGGTTCAGTGGTTGAGCATCTGCCTTAGGCGTGATTCCAGGGTCCTAAAATCGAGTCCTGCATTGGGTTCCCCTCAGGAGCCTGCTTCTCCCTCTGCCTATGTCTCTGCCTTTCTCTGTGTGTGTCTCTCATGAATAAATAAATAAAAATCTTAAAATTTGGTGCTAACCTTTAAGCAGAGACCTAAAGGAAGGGAGGGGGGGAGCCATGTGCACATCTGGGGGAAGAGTGTTCCAGGCAGGGGGAACAGAGAGTACAGAAGCCCCGAGGCTACTGTGTACTTGGTGTGTCTGAGGTTTTTACATTTCTGTCACTTGGTGGCTCACCCCCTCATTCATGAATCTAGGAAGCTAGATTCCTTCAGCATTTTCTCTGGAGGCAGGGATGGAGCCAAGTGAGCAAAAGTAATACCTAAGACTGGTCCTGCATCTTCCTCCATCCCCGCACATGCACACTCCAATGCTCATTGGAGCACTGTGGTTAGACGACCCCAAATCCATGCAAATGGAAGGAAGAGGAGAGAGGAACAACATGGAGAGCTCCCTCCTGCCTCTGACAAAACCCCTGCTCAGTCAGGGTCCTGGGGGGCCTATTTTAATGAATCCGATGAGAATCCTTTGAAGGTGGCCTGCTTAATGCTTGTGTACAATCGGACACTGGTTTCTCGCCCCAAGTAGATTACACAGCTCCTTCCGCAGCGGGCTCAGTGTACAAAAGCGCTCAGCAGATCCTTCCGTAGTAGGTAACTTCAGAAGGAAATCAGAATCTGCTTCCTGTCCCCAGTTACTTTGAGTCCCATCAGCAGTTTCTGAATGAACCAGAGTAGGTGGGCACTTAGCGGCAGCCCTGCAGTTGTGTGGTTAAGTTCAAGAGAGGAACTCAGCCAAGGCTGCCCAGAGTGGGAGCAGCCAGGTGGCCCAAGGGCAGCCTCCGAAACAGACATGCTTGTCCATTCGGAGGAAAGCACTGTTGGGATGAATGGGCAGGGGCTTTGCCGGGGTCATCCAGCATGGAGAGGGTGGCAGAGGGCAGGCAGAGGGTCTTGCTCTTGTCTCCGCCACCTTGTGGTTGGGCTGCCTCTTTTTGGGCTGGGCAGAATGAAAAGATGACTTTGCAGGGTATGTGACCCATCAGGACCAGTGGGTGGGAACCTCCATCCTTTGGGTTTTTGAGCTCTCCATTTTTGCATTCTTGGCACCTAGTCTACTGCCAGGCACATAGTAGGTCCTGAGGGAAATTGGGGGCTGTGTGTGAACCCCATTTAGGTGTGGGAAACTCCAAGGGTGACTCTGCACACCCACATGACGGGCCACACCCGGCCCTGGGCACTATGGATCTCTTGGCAGCCACATACATGGTGGCCCATTTGGTTCAGATCTTGCGGCTACTGCTTAGTAACTGTGTGCTTGGGCAAGACACTTAACCCCTCTGAGCCTTAGGTTCCTCTTCTGTAAAATGAGGATAAAAATACTTCCTGACAATGTTGTTATGATGATTGAATGAGATTACTTAGAATGGTAACATGTAGCAGTTACTAAATAACTATTAGCTATCATTATTAACATTCATGACCTTGAGACAGGGGATAGGAACTGATTACCCTGGGTCCTTGTCAACAATAGGGTTTCATTTGTCTCTGATGTCATCAGTCAATAATTCTATTACTTTCTGCTATTGTCTTATTCATGCCATGATTTTTTGAGCTGCCAAGTCTGTGATCTGCCACATGATGGAGCTTTGGCCCTGGGGACCCACCCTCTCCCTGCTCCTGGCATGTGAGAGGACCCCCAAAGGCCCCAACTCAGTGCCAGCCACCCCAGCCAGACGCCCATCCATCTGTCCCGGTCCCTCCACCCCACCCTCACCATCTGTCTCTACCAGTGCCCATCGGTCTAGGTAGGTCTTGGCATTGGAAGACAAATAGCTCGTTAGCAGAGGCTGTTGTGGAGGGTGATGGATTGTATGCCATGAAGCTGGCCAGGCTGGTCTGGGCTGAGGGTAGGAGTGCAGGGTACAAATCACTGAGGAATGAACAACATTCATCATGGCCTGTTGCCTCCAAGGACAGGTGACACTTGCGTGGACTCAGAGATGTCACTCCTCTCCTCCACGCACAGTGAGCAAGTGAATGGAGGCTGACCTGGCCCCAGTGCATGGAGAGCTGTGGGCAGGGCCTTTCATCTCAGACTCAGCTCCTGAACAGGTCGCCCTCCGTGTCTCTCTCTGCTAGAACACTAGACTCTTGCTCAAGAATTGTCCTGTTCCCCATGGCCTAGCTTAGCCAAGTTTACAGCCAGATGCTCCAGGCTCCCAATAACCTCCCCAGGTTTGCTGCTCTTCCCTCCTCACTCCTCCCCTGTCTCCACCAAAGCCACCTGCTGTTCTTCAGTCAACTCTAGCTTTGGCTCAGAGCATTGGCTCTTCTCTGCCGGTTCACACTCTGGGTCTCTCAGAGACTACTGTGAAAACTACTCCTTTAGGAAGCCTTTCTGGATTCATGCCACCCCTGATCTATCCTCCCTGCCACCTCCAGTGGAGTGGGCAATTCATGGCAAATGCCTTCTCCTCATTCTAGCTACACAGGTAGCACTTTCAAAAGCCTGCCGATGTTAACAATAATAAACAATACTCAGTAGTGGTGTGGTTCTCTACAGTTTGTGACATATTGCCACAAAACTTAGTGCATTTATTTGTTATAGATCCTTGAGGCTGGTACCACTCGCCCCCCACATTGTAGTTTGGGTAAAATGAGGCTCAAGGGGGGCAAGAGCATGCTCATCCCTGGGGCTGCTAGAGGGGCCCCAAGGGCAGAAGGACAAGACAGCCCCACGGTGAGCATGGCACTCAGTTGGCCATCTCCAAGTCCAGGGCTCTTCCTCTCCCCCAGGCTCCTCCCACAGTGAAGGGCCAGCAGGCCGGGTGGCAGCCTCCTCTCCCCACAGACCCAGGCTCAGAAGCTAATGTCTTCTACTTCTCTACTAGCACACTGTGTCCACCACATAGTTCATGTGTTTGTGGGCTTGACTTCCCTCATGCCTTCCATGGGCCTGGTGCACAATAGATGCTCAATTAATGAGTTGGATTGAATCAGGGAGAGACCTGAAGAGGAAACCGAGTCACCAAAGAATAGCAAACCTCCCAAAGACCAGGTGCAGGGGCCTCCCCACCTTTGCTGGGCAGCAGCATCCTCCAGGACCGTGGTTCAAGTGGCCAGGGTGAGGGCCTAGAGACCACACCCAAAGTTAGAAAACACATGGCCTTGGAAGCCAGAGGCCTGACCCTCTCATGCCCCAGCTTCCTCAACTGCACAAATGCTGACTCTTAAACTCTTGTGAGAAGTAAGATAATTCTACAGAAGTACTTGGCAAATGGTGCGCTTATACGAGCTATTAGTAATATTTGTAGTTATGCAGTATTTTCTATTGAGGAGGTGTAGAGCACGGTGTTAAAAAATGTATCTGGAAGCCAGGCTGCCCACGCTCAAATCTTGGCCCTGGGACTTACTGGTTTTTTCTTTGCCTCAGTTTCCTTAGGTGTAAATGAAAATTGGGGCTAATATATCTCAACTACTTCTACCAGTGCCTGCCGTGTAGGTCGCACCCAGCAACACTGTGCTTCGGGCATTTTTGGCAGCAGAGCACAGCAGCTGGGGGACCTGAGTCACAGCCCAGCCCTCTGCTCTGTGGGTTCCCACAGCAAGGGCTGGGGGGACTGCCCCTGTTGCCCATCCCACAGCCGGCAAGATAACAACGTGGCACACTTGCCACCCGCCCCTCCTGTGCCTGTGGCAGATGCTGTGACCTAATGGCAGCTCTCTTTTCCACCACACTTCCACCAACTTCAGGATCCTCCTGAGCACAGTCCTCTGTGGGGAGGTGATGGATTGCTGGGAGTGCGGGGGGACCTCTAAAGAGGAAATCTCTGCGATTCCTGCCTTGGGGCCTGGCTCTGTGTGCAGGCCCTGGGAGACCTGGGGTCCAGGGACAGCGGCGGCTCTGGAGACCTGGAATCTTGCATCACTGGGGGAAGGGGACTCACCAGAGACGTTGCTGGCCAGGGACAGGCTCTCGCAGTGCTGGTCCTGGAAGGAGGCGGAGATGGGGTTCAGCCCCAGGAGGAGAAGAGCCTGTGGGCACAGAGAGGTGAGGGAAGCAGTTAGACTGTGCCTCCTTGAGCTTCCTGCTTCCCCTCGCTTCCCCCTCATACCTGTCTCCTCCCAGCCAGCCCAGCCCACCCCGGCCTCCCCCGCCCCCTCCTCTCATGTCCTCTGTGTCTGGAAGGTCCAGAGCTGCGGAGCTCTAGAAGGGCTTGGAAGGGAGGCAGTAACAACAGCAGGAACCCAGGTTCCCAGGACAGTGGGGAACCTTCTCTCTGAGGGCTGGGGCCTTCATCAAGCCTGAGGAAGCTACCTCCATCTGCACAGGATCCCAAGGATGGCCCAACTGTGTCCCAACAGGTGCACACGCACACACACGAATGCACACACATACACACAGACACATATGAACTCACGTGCACACACACCCGCCCTTCCACCTACCCTCGGAGCACTCATGGGCTCACAGATGCCCTTCGATGGCACATCTGCTGGCCTCCTTCCAGAACTGCAGGTGCTCATCGGAGGGCCCTCATCCCCACCCAGCTAATTACCAGTCACTGCAGACTGTGCCTCACCCTTCACCATGCCCTTCTACACCTGCCATGGCACTTAATTCTCCCCCTCCCTCGGGCTGCTGTGGCTGCCCAGTTTGCAGATGAGACACGGAGGCCCACAGAGGTGAAGGTGTAGACATGTCTGGACAGATGCCTGGCTGACTCCAGGGAGAACTGCCCCTTCCCCTCCCAGGGTGGGGGTGGGGGCTCCATGTCACTCTGACTCCAGAATTTCAGCCCACATGGGAGGAGCGTGCCATGGGGCCTACACCTGGAGGGCCGCCCCTTCAACTGACACCCTCACACAATCATTGCGTCCCCCTCCCTTGAGGTCACCACCACCCCCCTACAGATTTAGAGTCAAAAGAGACCTGGCATCCAGCCCTGGTTTCACTGTGGTGCCAGCGGCAGGTTACTTGACCTCTCTGGGCCTGTTTCTTTACGTGCCGATGGTCCTCCCTCTCAGGTTCCAAGGATGCAGTGTTTGTAGAAGTCCTTTGCGAGTCGCACAGCATCTCCACAAGGACAGGGATTTTGTTTTGTTCACCGAGCTCAAATTTGCTGACTACGTCAATGAATTGCTTTGTGTTTCAGGTCTACCACTGGCACTCAATAGGTCATGATTGATTTGAACTTGGTGACTTTTATTTAGTCAGAGGTTGGAGGCAAGGCACGTGTGTTTCCCCTGGTTTTCAAGGGGACAAGAAACACATGGTGGGCTGGGGTATGGAGAGGGCATCGTAACCAGCCCCTACTTCCATTTGTTGGGACGTGGGTGCTGATGACCAGCGGAGCTCTGTCTGCCTGAACAGGCTCCGGACAGTGAACCTCACAGGAGGTTGCTCTCCAGCATCACCACCCCTGGTGCCTGCTCTTTCTTCCTGGGGCCTCCTCCCTGGGACCCTCTCCTGGACACCCCTGGCAAAGGTATCTCAGACCCAGCCCATTTCCATACAATCTTCAAAAATCACTCCAGAACTTCAGAAACAGACAGGCAGATCTAGAAGCTGTCTTAGCCACTTCCCAGTCAGGAACTAGGATGGGGAGAGAAGTAGGGGCTTGCCCTATGGAGAGCAGGTCTCTATCTTAGACTAGAGCCAGGGTGGTGGCCAGCTCTAGCAGCACATAGCTTTCATGCACAGCTCTCTGGGACTAGGGTGAGGAAAGCAAGGTGCTTATCTTGGGTCCACAATTTAAAGGGCTGCCAAAAGACATATAATATTTTAATGTAGTATTTTTTGAAACTCTAAATTAGTGCAAAAAAATCCTTGATATGAACAAAATATCAAAAACTTTTTTTAAAAGGTTCTATAATAGTGCTGGGCATATTGGAGCTTGGGGTAAAAGGAAAAATCAGTAATAACACTAAAATATTGTTTATCTTCATTATGAGATTTGGGACACCCTTAAAATTTGTGCTTGAGAAGAATGCCTCACTCACCTCACACTAGTCCCTGCCCTGCCTTGCTCTCCCTAAGCTGGACACCCCCATCCCGCACCTCCCGATGTCTGTATGTCCCACTTCACTTGGACTCCTCCCCACTCACCCTTTCTGGACCTCAGGGACCTTCCCCCAGTCCTTAGAAGCAACCTGACCTGCCTTTTCCCAGAGGAGAGCTTTCCTTGCGCACCTGCCAAGAATATCCTCCCCTACCTTGCCCCCCTCCCCAGTAGTGCCACCCACCTTTCCCAGTAGCTGCCCCTTCCACTCCTGTCTCATGACAGGCAGGCTCTACTCCCCTCTCTCCCATCTTCCACTCCAAGGTGGAATCAAATGCTCCCCACTCTGGCTAGAGTCTGTCCTGCCCCCAACCTCCAACAGGAAGCACCCCTCCAACCCTAATGATTCACCCACATGTCCCCTCAGCATGTGCCTGAGTCCTTAGTGGGCTCTGTTTATTCTATTCCCTTGCTGGCACACTCCTGTCACATCCTAGGAGTTCTTTCTGCTCTTACTGGGCCAAACTCCAGTCTAAGAAGCACATCCCCAGCCATGCACCCCCACTCTTTGCCCAGTATTCAGGACACTCAGCTTACTCACTCCTAGGACTTGGAAGTGATTAGAACAAACCCATTCATCCCTCTGGCCCCAAGGAACTTCCAACACTTTATTAATCACTAATTAAACTTCACAGTCCCCAGAGAGATGGAGAACCATCTTTACTCTTCTTTACTCTCATTTTCCAAATGAGCATGCAGGAGAGAGAGGAGGAAGCCCCTAGACCAGCCAGCAGCTCTTGCTAGATAAGCAAATAGTAGTGTCCTCACCAACAAACCTGCACTGCTCAGCTCGGCACAGAGCTCTGTGCTGTGCCCAGGAAGGGACCCACTCTGCTGGGATGGCCAGAGCAGGCCCCTTCTCGAAGGGGGCTAGGAATCCCTGCCTCCAGCCTGTCACCCCACCGCTGCCTCTGCCATCTCCCGACACACAGACATGCAGAGAATGGGAGTGGGGCTCCCAGAGCCAGGCCAATTAGAGAAACTGGAAACACCATCTTTGATGCTATTAGCCCGCTGCCTGACATTCCACCATTATCCTTCTAATCCTGAAACCGTGCTTTGTGCCTGGTCTTTCAAATCCCCCTTGAAAGCACACCTTGTTCTACTCACATTGAATTGCTTATCAATGCCCAGCTGCTGGACCCTGCTGGTGTCCACACACCTTTGTCCTTGCGTTTCTCTGCGCCCCCCAAACCCCCCTCCAGGCCTACCAGCTCACCTGGTAAGCGCTATAGTCCTCAAAAGCCAGTTCCAGAGCCCTCCCCTTGGCAGCACCTTCCCCAGCACTCCAAAGCAAAGCAACTCAGTCACCTCATCAATGTACTCATGCCTCCCCAGCACGTGGCACTGGACCCCGATGCTCACAATGCTCACAAACAGAGCATGAAATCACCCCAGTACAAAGCACTAACTCCCCTCAGTTCTGACTCATGCCAAAACACAGGCCAGAAGATCTTAGCTTCCCACCTTAATGTCCTAGGATGCGCAGAGGAGCAGAGCAACTCTAGATTCATCATGAAACCAGACCAAGAGCCATGCAAAGGGCAAAGAGCAAGCCTGTCCTCGGCTGGCTGCCTGGAACCCTGACCCTTGCATCTTGGATGTGACGGTTCACAAAGTCACTGTCTACCAACAGGGTGTGCATTGTGCAAAGAAAAATGCTTCTTAAAATTCCCGAACCAACCTCTCCTCTCAGGAAAGGTCGGTTCTGTATTGAACCAGTGCCTGTGCCACCTCTTGCTCTGCAGAAGGATTTGTAAAGGCTGCTGGCTTATTCTGAATCACACTTCCAGGAAAAGTCGAGACTTTCCTATATATTTCCCCCCCACTGCACGCTGATCTCTTCTTCCATATTCACCAGATTTCTAGCCCCATCAACAGGTGACTACTGCATTGTGGGAACAGGCCTCCAGACTTTCCAGAATATTGTTTGCTTCCTTCTAAGGCTGAGAGTTTTTAATCAGGGGTCCATAAACCCACGAGAAGGTGTGAAAGCCTGTGATGAAATGCAGTGTGTCCTGTGTAATGACAGCCATTCTCCTGGGAGGGCATCCCCCAAGGCTCAGGGAGGCCTGATGGATGGATGGGTGGATGGGGTCACATCAGAGGCACAGGCCTCCACCACATCCGACATGTCATCCTCTCTCACAGCAAACCTAAAGTGGTTTAGGCCTGGAGGAACCATCACTTCCCTTGGGCCGCTTGGCTGGCTTCTCCCCTAGGTCATTAACTCTGGCTGAGGGTTCCCCTTTCAGAGCCATTTCTGGCAAACCAAGCTTTCAGGACGTTGTGAGGTTTACCATTTCCCAACACATGGTAGAGAAAACCAAAATGGCCCTAGGAATCTGAAGCTGGCCAAGTGCTAGTCTCACTCACTAGGTGACGCCTCATTCGTGTCACTAGCCCAGCGGCCCCAAGGCCCAAAAGAAAACCTGTACGTCAGTGACAAATCCCTCCACTCAGCCAAGAGCCAGACCTTGAACATTAACTCTGAAGAGGCCGAGAGTGTGCTGCTGCTAGATTCCAGCATCACAGAAAATGACTGTCTGAGGGCCCAGTGGGTCCCTGACAGGGACAGACACTGCTCTGTGGAAAGCCGATGAGGCAGGTCTCACCTTTCCTATTTTACAGGGGGTGTAGTTGAGGTGCCCAAGGTCACAAAGCTGTTTTCAGCATCTGGGTGGGGACGAGGAGCCAGGGGGCAGGCAACCGGGCATCTGACTTCCAAGTGGATGGAGGCTGGAGGAAGGGGATGGCCCTGATCAGGGCAGGGCATGGAAAGAAGGGATGAGCAGAGAGAGGGGAGGGTGCAGGGGTCATCGGAGAGGGAGGCGGGGGTGGGGGGGTGGGGGTGGGGTTCAGGATCTGACAGCTGCTGCCCATCCCCACCCCCCCAGGCCAGCGCGGTGGCTGGAATTGAAGCTGCCATCCCCATTCCCAGTGTGACTCTGGCATAAAGGTTAATCACACCCA